CGACCTTGAGGCCGATGGTCGCCCCGCTCCGCCCGCAGGGCCATGGCCGGGAACGCCGAGCGCACCTTCATCGCCATCAAGCCCGACGGCGTCCAGCGGGGGCTGGTCGGGGAGATCATCAAGCGCTTCGAGCAGAAAGGGTTCCGGCTCGTGGCCATGAAGTTCGTGCACGTGAGTCCCCGCATTCCCCCCAAACGCCTTCCCTTGCCTGCGAGAGAGGGGCTTGGGCACACACAGGTCATCTTGGGCACACACAGATGGGCTTGGGCACACACAGATAACCTTCCTTTGCGGCTTTTTCTGCGTCAGAATGGGAATCTGATAGCGGACGTGCATCAGGCTCCTTTTCCTGCCCCGCACCGGATCTTCCCCCTGTCCAAAGGAAGCACGTTTTGCCCAAATGGTTCGGTGCAGCCCGACTGGGAGCTGAACCGACCTTGACTGAAAGGTTGTGTTGGGTAACAGCACCCAGGCAGCCCTGCTCTGCTTATCGCTGAGAGTCACTGCAATGCAAAGAAATAATATTGACAGCTCACAACACTGACACTGCCACAGAGGGCAAATGGGCCGTGCACTCCTTTAATTTTACATTAGGAGCTTGCATTGATAGCCACAACAGCACTGCAGGGCTGTTGGTAACATTAATGACTGGTGAGTCCAGTCACTAGCGCCATAGCCTTGCAGCAGCAACACCTCTTGTGATATGACATTCAGAAGCTGATATTTGATGTTACATCTGCCCTTTTAAAGGCCTCCGAAGACCTTCTCAAACAACATTACATTGACCTGAAAGACCGACCCTTCTTCCCTGGTTTGGTTAAATACATGAACTCTGGACCTATTGTGGCCATGGTAAGTGGCTTGATTTTAGTTAAAGATGACTTGCTTGAATAAATTTGGTTTGTAAATTATTTAAAATAGTCAGAGATACTGTTACAGAAACAGTTTTTCAAACTACCCAGTTCAGATAGCGGCAAAAGAAAACAAAAAAATTAAAATTAAGAGAGTCAAGAAATTACTATATATTACTAAGAAGGAAAGTGCATGTATAAAACGTGTATTAAAATGCTTAACACGTATTAAGCAAAATTCCTGAGAGCAAATCTTCTGCACCAAAAATCTTCTGTTTTAGGCAAAAAAGGGTGAGGCTCTCTGACACAGAAACCCATCTTGTGTGTCATTCTTTCTTGCACTCCCCTCAAAACAATGTACTTGGTCCAGTAGCATCTCCTGACTCTGTACCTAACTAGGAGTGCCTGCAGCTCATCAGGGTGTCCTTATCCTACCCAAACAGAAAGGTTTTGGAGTTGGCCGTGTGCATTATTTAAGTCTGAGGCTTGGTAAAGTATCTCCTTCACTGGAGTAACAATGTTGATGGTCCTTTTTACAGACACTTCCAGTTCATATGTTTTTTTCCTAGTCACCCCTACAGGCCTAAGAGAGGATCTAGGCAAGGTTAATTTTTTTTAGTGGTAGAGCCCCTGTTTCTTTGGAAAGTATGTTATTAGCAAAGACTAATCTTTGGTATTTTGTATAAGCATGGATTAACAGAAGTGGTTTTGTCTTTTTGCCTTAAGGTATGGGAAGGACTCAATGTGGTTAAAACTGGGAGAGTAATGCTGGGGGAAACAAACCCTGCAGACTCGAAGCCTGGTACCATCCGTGGTGACTTCTGCATTCAAGTGGGAAGGTTTGTACTCAGTTCATTAATTGAGATCAAAACCAACTACTACTCCATGTTTAACAGCCAACATAATATCTGATGGTAGTCTTTTATATCTGGAAAGCCAGAATTAGTGGTGGATACCCTCATCTGATGGTATTTCATTTGCAGGTCACAATCCATAGCTGCTACTTAAGAAAATGGTACAAAAGTGACTCTGTTTGAAATCCAGCTCCTCCTCAGAGCAGCACGTAAGCTCAGGCAGGGGCTGGTGTAGAACAGTAGCCCTAATGACCCTGCTAGGCCTAATTAGCTCTCAGAGTGAGGCTGGTGGAACACTGGCCTGGAAATAAAAGTAATAGTCTCGCAGCTCTAGATGCTTCATCCAAGTTTCTGCATGTGGAGAATGATGAGGCTGCTGAAAGTGTATTTTTTGTAGGGAACAATGTTTGTCTCCTTCCACAGGAACATCATCCACGGCAGCGACTCCGTGGAGAGCGCGCAGAAGGAGATCAACCTGTGGTTCAAACCCGCAGAGCTCATCGACTTCAAGCCTTGTGCACACGACTGGATCTATGAGTGATGAGTTTCCACAAGGATCTGTGCCTTCTAATGCACCATCTCATTCCAGCTGCTGACCTGGGAGCAACCACGGTTATCTTAGTGCTCAAAGTGACTGTCAAATAAATGGGTGTGAACTAACTCCTTGTGGTGCTTTCACTTCCAACAGACCCCGCGTTCAAACAGCCGTGCAAGGCATTTTAGACATGCAGTATTTCCCTCCTGTAGAAGGAACACTTAACAAGAAATGCCGTGCACTGGCACATCAGAATAAAAATCCAGGGAGTTGTGTCCCTCGCACAGTTGCTTTGAAAGCTCCTGAAATCATGGCAGTGGCAAAGCCAGTTTGCAGAGAGCTGACAGGAGGCTGGAGCTGCTTCCAACACAGCTGAACTGAGCTAGGGGGAAAAAACGGGATACTACACAATTTCCTTCCTTACACAACTGTTAATACCAAATGAAATGAGAGCAAGTGCAAAGCTTGCTCTCTATTAAATGCTTATGTAATGCCACCATCTCATATTAAAACCCTTAGCTTGTGCTCAGCATCTTACATGGTTCAATTGTGGTCAGACCAACATACCCAGTTACTGAAAATATCTTTTACAAATCATATTTTTTTAATCTGCATTCTGTTGAAAGAACCTGCCTGGAGTGCATTTATGTATATGCCAAATAGTGCCTTTTAAACAAAACAATCACTATTCAGAAAAGGACTTTTTTATCATTTTTATTTTGTGTAAAAAAGGCAAATTTAGTGAATTATTTTCATCTTGTACACAAAGTTATAATTTTAATGCTTTTCACATCCATGCTGAAAATCTGCAGTCTCGTAAAAATGAAAGTAACATTAATTTCTCCAAAAGCATTTTCTTCACTGAGTTATGTACATTGCATGAGAAAGCTTTGAATACTCTCTCATTGACCACACAAATTACCAAGAAAATAAAAAGATTAAATTTGTACAGATATTGATCTATATATCAAATACATACAGAAATGATGTAAAAACCCCATTTGTTTAATCTTGATTCCCGCCCCAACATTTTCCCAGGGGCCAAAGCTGATGCCTTTTTTGTATAAATGGCTGTGGCTTTTTGTTTTAAATATGAAAAAAACCAAAAGGAAGAAAAAATTCAGCTGAAATCACAGTTTTTAAAATCCCTTCCCAATAAAGGATTGTTACCAAATATATTAGCACCATCGTACAAATATTGACGGGAGGGTATTCACATCACATAAAACAACAATAAAAAAACCAAACAAACACTGAAACCCGTGTTAGTATCCGTAGAACAAGGAATCAATAACTGCTGTAGCTTTCCTCAGACGCAGCAAGGAACAGGTCAGAGAGTTGTGTGTAAAATAACATAAAAATCAAAGATCAGCAGAGAGATTTTGAGCAATTAAAAAGGGGCAGCGGCCAAGTAAAGGGACAGGACTTGTGCCACCTCATGGTCATAAAAACCTGCTGTGCCAAATGCCAAAACCAGTCCGACCCCACTGAAGGTTTCAGATGTCCAACACTTGCTGCTCTCTTAGCCAAGCACCACAGCTCAAAGCCAAGACAACAGTGCCCAGAGCCACGGGAATGCTTTGCAAACCCAGGGAGCTGCCACACGGACACCCCTGGCCCGTTGGCACTGCCGAGACCCCTCCAGCCCCGGCAGAACTCCACTCGGGTCTTCCTTGAGCCTCCCCTGAACAAGGGACTTCAGCAGCTCCTTGTGTGGTTTGCTTAGGACAGATGTCACCGTACTCGATAATTACACAATTCAGGCATATTTTGAATTCAGAAACACAAAAGACATTTCACCAACTCCTGAAGTCACACAGGTACCCAAGAACACACGTCGCCTCACAGACTTTAGTGTTTGATGAATAAAAGAATATTATAAAGACTGACAGACTTCAAAACAGATTCTTAACATTTCTTCAACACAGGAAGTGTTAAGGACTAATTTTCCCTCTTGACATTTGACGACTGTAACTCCGAAATCAGGGATGAGCCTGGGCAATACTCAGGAACCCAAGGTTTAGTGACCTGGCAATACACCTCACTCACTCCAGCCTGACCTTCCACATTATGAAACATAAATTAATGCAACAGTTTTTCTACTGAAGTCAGAAGCTGCTGGTGAGAGAAGAAAGCAAGACTTGTGAGAACCTTGTTCCAGCTGACTGGGACAATCTGCAAGTTGCTGCATTAAAAAAAAAAAAATGAATAAATCAATAGTGCTTTACTTACCAAACCAAATCAATGCTTGCAGAGCTGGATTAATTTGAGAACATTGGGTGGGGAACCAAACCATAATCAAGGCTCAAAGTGTCATTACAATGGTCTCTAATCCTACTTCTCCAACCCAGGCTATTCAAAGGAAACATCACAGGCAGGTCAGAATCTGAAATAAGGTATTTGAAGTCTACCAGGCCCAACAAAGTCCTTTTTATGGCTATTTTAGAGAGCTATAATGTCTTTACCACCTGAAGTTATAGACACTTCTAATCTGATTACCAGATCCTGTCAGTAGAAGAAGCTGTTGTTAAAAAGGGGTCGCTATTTAAGAAATTTTACCAGTAAGGGAGAAAAGAATTCCAGACATTCCTACACTATACAGGACATGTTTTACTTCCAGTAGTAAATACAAAACTTTACATAATTAACCCCTCTTGCATAGAATGAGGTAAACCTGTGCATATCACCAATACTATGTACCCAAAGTTAGAGCAATATTTTAGAAAATAATCAAATTGCTGGTTTTCAACTTTCTATGCACTTTTTTTTTTTTTTAAGCTCAAACAACAATATACAAAAATGGTCTCCTGGGGCTCTGTGGGTTGGTATCCTTAAAGCATTTCTTAGGCTGTAGGAACACAGATGTTAATAACTTTGATGGATTTTTTTTTTTAAGCCCTAATTTATGGTCTAGAGTCAGATATCATTGTACTGCTCTGAAGGGGACCTGCGAAGACCCAGAAGCACTTATAGAACATATGCAGTTAATTCCTGAGAGTTTAGTTAATGAACCTTACTGGTAAAAGCTAAAGCTCTTGATGCACATTTTCCTAGTCACAGCTCTGCAGGGCTGTTTAACCACTTCACTCATCAACTCCACGAATGAGGTCATTTACAAAAATGTTGAAAGGTTAAAAATATGGAAAGAAAATCCAAATTATTAAGAGCTCCTGCAAAAACACCTTGTGTTTGACTGGTCATCGTTTTCACCCCTTTATGTGACTTTTACCTCGTAAAAGTCAGTACAGTGAACACGTGGGGCTTGTGGAATACTTGATGTGAGACAAGAATTCCAGGCAATAAGCAAATCCAGTTTATGAATTATATACTGAAAAATATACGATTTTATACTGTTCTCAAGTCTCAACTCCCACATTACACTACTGCAGCAAGACATGAATATTGCAGGCTATGCAAGGCTGAAGTCATTTTTTAATCCACAATACATGGCTCCTTTCAGCTCACCTGAAACCACGTGGAACATCAGTTCTCAATGTCCACAGATAAATATTCAAGATGGTAAGGAAACATCTAGGGCTTTCTGAATGGAAAAAGATAGTCAGAAGAATACTCACAAGCTCCTTACCACCACCAAGGGAGTCCTTAGTTACTGTCCATTTAAGCTGCTTCTTCAGTCGAAATTCAGAGCTAAAACTAATCTTCCAAATGAGGGAATTTTCTAAAGTTCCAGTTTGGCATAGGGCTCTGTAAACATGTGCTGAAGCATTCCAAGACTACAGACATTCATGTACAGACAAGAGTTTTGCAGACCCAATCCAGTGCCCACTGCAGTCGACGACAAGGCTACTGATATTAATGGGCACTGAATCAGACCCTAAGGAACATTAAAAAACAAAACCTTATATATAAAAAAAAGGTATTTTAAACTAAACAAAAACATCTTGAAAAGTTAAAATCCTCCTCAGGTGATGGCTCCGTTGCACTTGGGGCTACTCACTGAGTAGAGCTTTACAGGACTATCTTCCACATACAATTTATGCCTCTAAATTAGGCCTTAAACGCCTTATTTTCACAATGAAAAACAGAGGCGTGACCAGTGCAGTTCACAAGAGTCTTAAAAGTCTCCCAACTTGTACCAAAAAGGTTCATTTGTTATGACAGTTCATTTGTATTTGCAACTATATCTTCCTCCAACCACTTCCCACAACCATGCTAATTAAACTTTAATCTTACCAAAAAATTAGAATTTCAGTTCTTGTTAACAATGCACAATAAATCTGAACTTGAAAATATTACAAAATTCTTTCAAAAGCTTCAAATACAACACAAAAGTGTCCATTTTTTTTGTTTTTAATAAATTGAAAAATCTTTTTCACTAAAATAGTTTCCCCGCCCTTCCAAAAAATTCTGAACTGAGTCTAACTCATCTACAGTCAGCAAAGTGCCCCAGGCACAGTCACCCCAACTGCACCATCCAAGTGGGAACAACATCAGTCAGTCTTGGAGAAAGGCTCTTCTCCCATCACCAATCCTCTGCCTCTCACTCTTCGGAGCTGCCTCACGGTTCCTGTTTGATGTAGTAGCTGGCAGATCCGTTGCTTTCCTGGTCGGACGCTCCCTGAAGGAAGCTGTACTCTTCTCCATCCAGCAACTCCTCCTTCAGCTGCAATGAAGTCACTACAAATAAAAAATGAACATTAAAGATCTGTAAAATGTAAAATGCAACTCTTCCCTAAATGTGCTTAATGTTACTGAAATTCGGGATAGACCCTGGATTTCTCATTTTCTTATATTCTGCATTTTAGCAATTCTTTAACACAGGATCCCACAGAAAGCAGATCCTTTCTGACCATAAACTGAATTTTAAGTTGTGCCTTAATTTCAATTTACAATACTAGATTATCTACAGGGTTTTCTCAAGAATTTATTATTTTAAACCCCTGGTCTAAGAAGGTAACAACAGGTTAATAACGATAATGATTGTTGCTCAGAACAACACTTACTTCAATCTTGACTTCCTATTTAGTCTTTATGCAAGTAAAAATGAGATTAACAACCTACAATTCACATTAAATAGCCCAGTTACTGTAAACAGTCTATGTAAGACAAGAAAAAATATCAACAAAGATTTCTCAATCCATCATTAAAATTTTAATATCCCAGAAGGTGTTTCACTCAAGCAAAACATTTTTTTGAGTTTTCATCTTCTCTCTTCTTTCTTTTGTCAAAAGAAAATAGAAATGAGATCTAAGACATAAAAAAAAAGATGTTATGAATAGCAATAATGTCACAATTACTCTTCCAGTTTCATTAATGAATAGTGAAAATTACCAAAATATGAGCACAATGAAAAAACACTGAAAACAAAACATGTAAACTTTCATTAAAGGTGCAGTACCCATGTTAAAGGGTTGATTATACAAAAATAAATGATTCTCTATGACCAAATGAATGAGAAGAGTATTAAAGCTTATAACTACTGAATATAAAGCTTGTACACATTATTAATGTATCTTGAAATGCAGAAATATGCAAAGAAAGTAAAAAACCCAACCCATAAACCTGCTGCTACTGGTAGGCCTGCAATAACTTACAAGCCATTTGATTATTCTTTTATAAATGTTCTATGTCATCTTCTATGTTGAAACAAGCTCTTGTGCTAAATAAAAATAAAATTTGAAAATTAAGGTAGTAAAAGATGCCAAAAGTTGCAGCATAATGCAAGATCTCCTCACCTCTTCCTTTAATAGATGCCTCCTCCCACCTACACAGCCCACAATCCCTTCCTTACATTTTTTTCTCCTCAAATACTTTTCCCTGTATTATGCCCAGCTCTGATCAAGATTCCTGATCTGTGGAGGACAACAAAGTGCTGCCTAAATGATAAGATACACAATTGGTTACTTGGATATGCTGCTGACACCTTAAGCAAAGGCTACACAGAACTAAAACCCACCAGCACATCCTTCTCCTTCTCCCCCCAGCAGGAAGCTTCTGCAGGAACAGGACTCACACATGATTTGGATTGTCTCTGGTTAACTTGAACCTAAGCCCTGACATTCAGATATTTAATGATCCTTTGCTCCATTTGTTCCTGTTATACAGCTTTTAACTACCATCTTCCAGAAGAAAAGCTACACATCAAGTTACTTAAAAGAGGAATAAAGAAAGCTAATGGAAGTCACCTGACTGAAGGAGAAGGGATGCAGATGGGCAAGGTACTCCCTTTTTAAACTGTCTCAGTGATTTGCCTGGAGACAACAACAGACTGTGTTGATGCCATGACATTCAAACCCCCCAGATATCAAGGCAGAATGAAGTGATGTGGTCCAGAGATCAGGTGAGTCTCTGGCAACAGTCTCCTCCTCTGCCAGGCTGGCTTTAGGCTCTTTTTAAAAGTGAAGCTGTCCAACAGTTGAACTTCAGTGCTTAAAATATCATTTCAAATGACTGAAAAATGCCAAGCACTGGTGGACACTCAAGCAGCACCATGACTTGGCTAGAGAGCAAAACCACTTCACACAAAAAACATCAAGTGCTGAAACCTTCTGTCTCCTGTGCTTATGACAGTACAAAAGCAGAAAGAATTGGTTTTGAGCCTCACTGAGATCTCCCAAGGACAAGCAGTTTCAGAGCAGATGCCTGTTTTGTTACTGATCTTATATGCTTCCATGCCAAGCCATATAAACACCCCCTGCACTGTGCCTACATCAGTCCTACAGCTACTGGAACAGGAGGCAGTGGATGGTGCTGAGGAATATGCATGTCATTAATCAGTTCTGGCCAATCTCAAACATGTTCTGAACTTACTAGCTGGTATCAGGGTTATGTTCTCCTCCTCCCTAGACCGAAAAGGTGTGGTCTTGCTGGTTTCAATTTAAGAACAAACACCTTTGGGCAATGACAAGGCTACATCACAACAAAACCGACTTTGTCCAACCTCACCAAAACTCAGAATGTTGAAAAGTTCCCCCCAGATGATCATAGAAAGCACTGAGGGTCAGAAACCAAAGAACACAGGAGCTCCATGGGAACTCTGAGATCTACTGACACAGAAATTCAGACTGGGCATGTCTTTGCACTATACCAATGCAACTCAGGTGTAGATTTGCAATAAGAGAATAATTGTGCAAAAACAAACACTCCAGAACACTCCCAAGCAAGGCTCCTCCTTTGCATCAAAGACTGCTAAAAGAGGCATGTACACACCAGCAGAAAGCTGAAGTGAAACTAAAGGAGTCCTTGAGAAGTGCTGAAAGGTTTGCAGAAGGGAGTAAAGATTTGTCCTGAGGGTCTAAAGGTGGCAGGTAGGTTCCCATGTCCCAGTCTGTTAATGGATAACACATGGACAAGAGAAACCTTTCTGGATGTACTCCACTGGCAGTGAAAAGTGCTGGCACAGCAGCCTACACAGCCTAAGGCAAGTTTAAGGGAATAATCGAGCAAATTTGAAGCTAAATCTATCAACCTGGCAACTGTGGGGCAGGGAGAGCATCATCCAGTTTGTCTGACAGATTTTATTGCTGTAACATATTTGATAGCGATAATTTGTTTACCTGCTACATCATGTTACCATAGATATTAAGAAAAGGGAAGAGAAAAAAAACAACTACTAAATCCTTGCAGTGAACTTCTATAATGGAAGATTGTTTACATTAAACTATCCTTAAAAGAGATCAAAACTTCAAGCTACTTCCCCATTATTACTGAGAAATGAATTTTGGAGTTTTTCCCTGCTCCCTCACACAGATGCACAATTACACAGTTCAAAATATATTTTCCATCTTGGTAACCCACAAAATTTCAAGTAACACTTACATTCTTAAGATATTTTCACAGGTACCTGTCTTTTTCTGATACAAAGGCAAAAATCCTTATTTACTGTCTATAGTCACTTAATTACTGTGTACTTTCTCTGCAAAAGATAATCCATGTTGATGTCCTGCTTGCATCAAATCTTCCCAAATCTACATTACCATGCAATTTTACAGAGTGCATTTTTTGCATTTTAAAACTCTGCAGAGCTCCTCTGGGATTCTGTGATTCTCAGCATCCTACAATAATGCAGCCTCCTTCCTATGAAGGAGGAGCTCTGTTCTAAGCCCTTTCCTATGATTAATTCCGTGACATGGTGCATCAGTGAGAATGAGAAGCTCTCTAACAGAGAAAAAAAAACCAAAACAAAACCAACTAAAATTTAAAGGAAAATAAATTAGGCAAAAAGAAAGATCTGATGAGTCAGCACACGACAGGCTGCATGGTTTCCCTGTGCAGTAACACATTGCTGTGACCAGTTACCTGTTTGGAGGCTGGGACTGAACTCTTGGCTAGTCCTGGGAGGCTGGAAGGCCTCCGGGGCTGTCTGTGCTGGAAAGGCTCGATATGGAGGAGGAGTCAACTCGTCATCCCCAGAGAAGCTCCTCCGCACCTCACCTGCCATGGGTGGGCTGGACAAACTGACAGGTTTCTTCCCAACTCGTCTCTTCCTCTCTAAACATCAAGTCAAACTAAAATAAACGCTTGGGTTAAAGTGCATCAGGTAACTCTGACTGTTCAACTGAGAAATGGCTCTGATTCATGTTCACCCACTCTGGAAAACAAGGGCCTGTACGTGGCACCGTTCAGTTATTATTGGGAATATTGCTCTCAACAGCCACATTTTAGTCCCTGATTCCTAGAGGACTGGTAGGACTTCAAGGGCATTGTTTAACAGCATGACCCACTTATTTCAAACTCTATCAATGACATATAAATGCTGTAAACTGCTTCTGCTGCAGCTACACTGCATGGTCACACCCAGTGCTCTGGCTGGGCACTCAAAGACATCTTGGCTCAGTTTGAAACTGCAGCTGTTTCAGTGTCTGTGACTGAAACACAGAAGGATGGTTCTGGGGAAATAATCCTCTTCAAGTAAAATTTATCACCTCCAAAATCCTAGTGTAAAAATACATACTCTTAATTCCCTTAAAATGGTGTTCCCCATTTTTACAGTGCCCTACAAACATAAACGAGCATTTAAATGTGTAGCAAAAGTAACTTCTAAAATGCCTTTGAATAATTAAACACTGCATTCATGAAAAAATGTTGCAAAAGCACTTCCCATACAAATTATTATCACATTCCTCCTTTATCACTAAGATATTGCCATTCTGTGCCTGAGGCAATTCCTCTATGATATCAGGGATGCAAGCTCTGTAACACAACATCACTGCTTTCAGCTATATCAAAACTATGGCTGCTTATGCTTCAGTCTTGTCAGACAAGAAACAAAAGCCTAGCCCTGAAAAGGTAAGTGGATTAAATATATGCTAAAGATACCACCATGCTTAAATATTATTCTTATGAGACAACTTCAGGACGAGCCTTTTAGAGAGCCTGATTAGGCAGAAAGGTGTCTACAGAACCCCAGCTTTTATAATATCAAGGTCAAATTATCATTTCAGTAACCTTATTCTGATATATACACCTATGAGAAAGCTGACAATCTGAGGAGATACTGCACCCCTGGTTATTAATTAATTGGCTAAGCAAACACAAGTTACCCTTCAAGAATTCACCTGCATAGCCTTCTGAGCAGCAGGCACAGGGTACAAAACCCTACCCACTGAAATAAACACTACTGGAAACAGAACTGGGAGTGATTCCCAAGCATTCCCAAAAGCATCCACAAAACATTCACAATGCAACCAGTTCCCCTTCCCACTCAACACGTGCTACTCTCTCCCCATGCTCTCAGTAAGGAGGGGACACACTGCTGTAAAAATCTGCATCATTACACATACACAGCAGAATGACTCGGTGACATCCTGGACTGTTTTGTGACCACATGAGAAGTGTGTGGAAATAACCCCTCTTTGCTAAAAATAATCTAATTTAGGACATGCACAGTTTCTCGTTAATCATCTGCGGTTACCTGACATGTTACCACTGCTGGGTTATACAGCTTTATGACTGAAATTCTTTACAAAATAACATTCTATTTTTTTTATTTACAAGTGCTGAACAAGAAAAAGCTACAGTAGACAAGTTTTCAGTATTATTTCCTGTGACTCAGCACTTTCATTGCCATAACCTACTTAGAAAAACCCCACGCAGGAGGCAGCCAACTCGAACTGCTCATGACCTTGTTCTCTCATCTGATGATGATTAAGAGGATTTCTTAGTATTGAATAAACAAACTACCAGAAGCTCTCCCTTGCTTCCATAGCCAATATTTACTTCAGGTTAGTGAGAAATGAAGAACAAATTCCACTAGAATAAATCTCCTTCCTATGGCACTAGAGGAGTTCACTTTCCAGTGCTTGTGTCACACTTACTCTAAGAGATGGGAGGAAACTCTCAGAGGTATTAGGTGGAAGGAGAGGGATGGGGTAAAGAGCAGGATGGTCTAGTATACATTACTGAACCAAATCTGCTCAGACAGTCCAGAATTATTCAAAAACACATCCTACACAAAGCTAATTAATGACAGAGCCATGTTTCCCTACCTTAAGGTAACGGCACTCACAGCTTTCCCTGGATATTCTCAAACCAGGAGTTTTTTCAGTACCTGAATTCTATTTAAAAAATACTGCTCCAAGATTCTCAGAAGGATCTGGATTTATCTGTTATTTCTTCCAACAGCGGAAAGGAGAAACAGTGCAATGATTGAGGCACCCACCAAGAGGTTGAAGAACTTCCCAGACACCTGCTTTATCTGTGGCACTCACTGCTCAATGTCCTTTCATGTCCTGAGATCAACAAAGCAAAGGCTGTTTTCCCAATGACTAGTGAAGAAGGTTCCAATTGGCCTTAATAGATCCATTCACAAATTTACCAGGAAGATGAGGCTTTAATTGCTCACATTAGCTCTACATAACAAAAACCACTCTGGAAACAAGTCTAAATAAATCAAGATAATTTGATTCCAAGGGAATCAGTCTCTGTGGAAAGAACTTGAATACTTCAAATTCTTAAAAATGTCCTTATTATGTTTTACTGTGACAAGAAAAGTCACATCCAGCAATGCTGTTCACTGTTTCTGAAAGTAATAATATAAAAGCTTTATTTATATAGATGCTTCATATAAAAACCCTGGTGAATAAGTCACTCTTTTGTTTCAAAAAGGAACCAGCTGCACAATAATTTAAATTTTTTCTCATTCCCTTAACTTGGTTCTTATGCCTCCACATGTGTTACAAAGAGCAGAGGTCAAACTGTGTTGATATCTGAGTATTTTGTACTAGGCAGTACAACTACACAGTCTATTATTTAACCAAAACAGTTAAATATTGTAACAGTTGTCCACCTACAATTAATTATTATTATTGTTATTATTATTATTATCAACATCTACCCTATCACAAGTTATAAAAATGGTTATTCTCAATGAAAAAGTTCCTTTTATGGCATACTGCACCTTTAAGCATAACACCTATTTAGACACAAACATTTCCAAATAGAACAGGGACTTAGGGAGAGACCACAAACTTTAAAACAACAGGAAAAGTGCAAACACTACTTTGTCACCCACTTTTCTTATGTCCTTTGTACTGTTGCGACTTAGCTTTTTTCTTCTGTTTGGATGAACTTGACTGGCTATCCCTTGATGCTGCAAAAAATTAAGAATTCAAAATTGAGGTTCAGTATTTTGGAAAAAACACTTCAGAACGTGTCAAAGCTGCTACACAGTTACAGAATTTTTCCTTAGTGACTGAACAAAGGCAGAACACCTTTATCGTGGAAACCCATTTGCATAAAACTACTAACACTATTATTACCCTCTCATTAAACAACTAAACCAACTAACAGTTCTTGGAATACAGCTATCAATTATTATCACTTGACCTGAGAGGACAAGTCTTGATGCAATAAATAAAATACATATTTATGTATGTATTTAATATACATATTAAATGCTTCTGCATATAAATAAATGCTTCTGCACATGAACAGAGTGCATGGAACTCATGCCTTCCCATATAAATGCTTCTGCACATGAACAGAGTGCATGGAACTCATGCTGAGTTCCACCAAATTCAGTAGGTAAAGCAGATATACTGGCAGTCTTAAAGCAATATAAATTCTCACTGGTATCATCCAGAACTGACAAGTAACAGGGTTTTCCCCTGCATCAAACAAACATCTGGCATTGAAAAATGGTAAGTAGCCACAGAAACACTCAGAAGTACTTTGGAAGTCAAGGTGGGACTGATTAGAAGAGTGAATTAGAACTTTCAAGCGTTAGCAAGAATTTATTCTATTTTTGTTACGCATGAAGACCTAAACCACAAAGGACGAGGGCAGAAAAATCAGCATCCATGACATTTCCATTATCCACAAAGCTGGAACTCACACTGTGGTGCTGGAGGCTGGAGCTGGTACCCAGTGAGCTGGCACCATCCCACGGGATACAGGTCTGGGGACTCACAATCCACCCACTGATCATACTCATCCTCCCAGCCATCGAAGTGTATCCTCAGGAGCCGATGGATAATGCGGGTGACTGTGGCCACACACACCAGGCGAGGCTCCATCAGATCAACAGCCTCCAGCTTCATTCCAACATGAAACCCATGGTTTGGAACTTCCTGGAAAAGCAAACACAAGCAAGGCAAACATCAGTAAATAAACACGTTAATTAACAGTTTAAGCACAGGGTCGAAACAAATATTTCAGTCAACTTACTACAGAAAAACCCCAAATATCATTGATGATACTTCAAGTACCGTGCACTAATTTAACATTTTGGAGATATTCAAGCTTCATATACTCAAATGGTTCTTATTTCCAAGAGTCTCCATGTCTTAGTTTTTCAAAATTTTATTTAATGAAATGGGTTCACCCCCTGCACAATGCAGAAATTTAAAGAAAATACTAATTACATGTTACTAATTACTAATTATACATGGAAATACGTGTAATTTTATTACCTTATTGAAGAGCTTTACAGGTGCTGCTATTGAATCAGTTTCCCTGAGGTAGTCAAACCATTTAAAAGGGAGTTTTGCATAACCTGTGAATTTTAAACAACATCTTCATACATCAACTGCAAACTTCGTGCATAAGAATAACAACAAAAATAGCACACTGGCACTGTGTTATGGCTAAAAAGACAACAAAGAAGTAAAACATTAACATCAGAAACTTCCATTCTCTGAGCTTTGGTCTAAGGGACAAACAGGCACCTGGATGTTGCCCATTTGCAACAAACAAGATGAATGAACTTCTGGGTAATATGGGAGGTATCATTTAATGTTAAGATTTATGATTCATACTGGAAGTTTTTGTTCATGTAGATTCTTGATCTGTACAAATGCCCCATATAAATGCCCCAGAACAGATCACTGAATTAAGCACATCCAGTGTCTTTCCTGTGGGGAAAGAGCTCCACTATTGAACCACTTGAATTATTAGGAACATAACGGTAAGAACAAACATGGATATTTTAAAAGTTAAATAAGGGTAAAAATAATAATACAGAAAATCAGAGGATTTTTTTTTAAAAGTTATTATAAAGGGAAGAAAACAATATCTCAAATCTATGTAGCTTCTACTGAACGTGCATAAAACACTCGGGAATATTTTTTACTTTAGGCAACTTCTACAACTGCTTTAGCTCAACAATTCTCAATTCTAGCTGGAGCAATAGCAGCTTGGAAGGTTTCTCTTTAGTAATATGTAGTGATGGACATCCTGAAAAGATGGCAGTGCAGTGGGAATAGTGTGGGAGACGGGGGATCTGTATCTCACCTATGTATGGGCAGAGAGCTCCCACTGAATCCCAGCTCAGCACTGCAGGGCCAGACTCAGCATTCACAGCCCAAAATTCAATCCCTCTCTTGAAAGTGTCTAAGCATCTTAATCTTCCACTGATTTCAGTAAGAGATGAAGATGTTTGGAAGGAATGAGCTTATAAAGTCCAAAGATTTCACAGCAACTTAGTTATCCACAATGCTAAATGCAAATTGGATAAGAGTGTTCACATTGGGTATGGAATATCTGCATGAACAGATGCAGCTGGAGAGCTAACAATTAATAAGGGTAATAATGTATCAGTTATGCATGTTAATGCTCTTCTTCTCAATGCAACATTCCCCTGCTAGACCAATATATTTGTATTTAAATCCTTTAATTGTTCACCACACGAGACGTGTGCACGTGGGCTTTGTCAGAACAGTCAGAATTAAGAAACTGTCCATTTTCCATCCCATAATTTGGACAGCAAAATGCCCCTCTCATAAGAGCTAAGGAGCTTTGATCACTTTGATCCTATTTAAATGTTAATGCGTATTATGGTCTGTATTTTACTGCTGTTAATTCCTCTTTCAAATGACTTTTAGAGTACTGCACGTGTGATTTATAATCTCCTCTCACTGATGGCACAGGGCTGTTATGAAACACTGCAGAGACAGGGAAAACATACATGTAGATAAAGGATAAGGCTGCAGGATACAATAAATACATAAGTATCATAAATGTGCTAACAACAAAATCCACATACTATTGTTAGGTAATGTCTGAAGAGTGAAGAGGTCAAGTCTCATCACAGAAGGGAAGTTTTTTTGCTATTCTGTCTCTTCACTTCCATGTATTTATTTCTAAATTGATTGACATGTATTGATATAGAAGCATTTGCTTCCCACAAATACTTCTATTGCAAAAGTCCTCTTGCACCACATTTTTTTGGAGGGGTGCTGGTGCCCACGAATTTCTAGGCAATAGATTAAAGTAAATCTGTCCAAATCTGTGCACTTCCCACTTACTCAAAGGTGACAGAGTCATTACTGTACAACAATGGAAGTGATATGAAATTACTTCCTTCATGTTGCATTACATGATCTCTGTAGTTATTACCCAGAAAAATAATTCAATAAATACAAGTAGAAGTCTGCAAGAATGAGAATGATGGGGAGTGGGGAATCCATAGAAAGCAACTGTCATCTGCTGTTACACAGCTGGTTACAATCCTCTTTATCAATTGTCAGACCAAGACAATAAAATGGGAAAAGGAAGGTAAAGTCCTTCCTCCACAGGCACATGTGCCAGTGGACACACAGCCTTTCCTCACAGAAGGGAGTGCACAGCCCTAATGGCAACTTCCTCAAAGCTCAAGTTTGTGTTTAGTCTTCACAAAAATTAACTGGTATTGTTGTTAATCAGCCTGAGATTCTTGACAGTGTTCATTAATCCTTTTGGAGGCCAGGGCTTCCCAAGCAGTGACACATTTTAAACAGCCCTTTTAATGACTCCCATACTTCATATTCTTAAAGAACCCTCAACTTCTTGCAGCTAAAGCAAATTATTTCTAAATGAGAAGTTAGTTATCTCTGTTTTAGACTACTTTGAAGTAACGCTGCTGTATTTGTTTCAGACTTGAGAAAGCCCTAAAAAGCGACACAGATTCTGTAGACTGAGTTAAGTAACAAAGCATATGGCACACACAATATCACTGAGAAATATTCAAAATAAATGTGGTCAGAAGGCTTTATGTACCTCTGGGTGGAGTTAGTTCAATCATGTTAATTTCACAGAAACCAACAGGGAAAATAGAAGGGGAAGTGGCATGGTAACAAAACCAATCAGACCCATCTGCTGCTTCTGAGCCATCAATCCCAATCATAAGATAGCCATCTGCTAACACCTTTGTAAAGAAAAACAAAATTTGACATTAAATACCTTGAACGGCGTGAGCAGGCTAGAAAGCAAGCATGCCATGTTTCAAAAGAGTGAAAGGAACTCAGTAATAATGGAAGAACACTTAGAAGGACATTCAGTTTTAACAAAAAAACCCCCAAATCATACCTGTCTCGAGGATTGTGTACGACTGTCACACGTACCTTTGATAACTGCAAAGTTATGAGATGAACATTTCCTTTTTCTGATCTCTAGTTTTTCTTGGGAACACCAGCTCTACTTCTAAAGCTTTATAACTCAGTCTACTCTTGAGCTTGCAAGGATATTCAGAACACCATTAATAAGATAAAAGACTGAAAATCATAACCACACTCCTCGCTGGTAAGGTTGTACAATTCTGCTAAGCTACTTTTTATATTTTCTTTCTTTTTTAAAACAGATCTCACATGGACTGCCTCCCTTTCAGTCAAGGACATCCTTAGAATGTCTTTGTAGACTTCTGCAAGTCAGCAAGATGAGGTTTGGTTTTGAGCAGTTGCAAAACACTTGGTATCATTAGCAGAAGATGGTCCTGCAAATTAATCTCACAAGCATATTCTAATTAAAGGTAAAATTGAATTCCCAGAGATTAATGTCAAACAAATTTACATGAGTACATTTTTCACAGCAGTTGTATATAATTTATGGACATATCCCATAAACATTCCCTGTGTGAACAAACTGCATTGATTTTGGTTTTGAGCTTTTTGTTTCAAGCCTGAATAAAGGTGAGTGAAAAAGATTTCTATCTGCCTACCAAAAAACACACTTGTTTTCTTACCTTTCTAATAGTTGCCACACATATTGCTGAAAGGTTTAAGGGGTCTATAGCTTCCAATTTCATTCCTTCTTTAAACCATTCTCCAGCTGCATCAACCTCTTTTACCTAAAGAATCACAGAACAGCACCAGAAGCAAAGAATTCAATGAGTCTGGAACAAAACATAATCCCACACTGCCAAAGCAACAGACTGAAATACCTGTTCTATCATCTCTGCTTATGTCAAGGAGGTCAAATTGGGTAATAAAAGCAGAAAATTTTGCTGGGCACATTTCCAGGGCATAGCAGAACTTCAGGTCTTTTTTTTTTTTTTTAACACACAACAGGAACTAAAGGTCCTCAATCAACTCTGAGCAGTGTTCTTGCTACCAAACTCACCTTCATAAATAAGTGTGAGGGTGCATCAAAATGTCCATCCTGTTTCTTTGTAATATCTAAAAGAAATATCAGTATTATAATATTATTCAGAAGTCTTGGTAACAGAGTAAACAGTACGTATGCTAACAGTTTGTCAACCACTATTTATCATTGAATCTTCTAGATATTGCTGTATTACAAATCAACCTATAAGTTACTTTGCCTTTTCCAATGTTGTATAATACACTAATTATAATTTTAACTTAAGCTCCTGAATGTAATATAACTGGTTAAACCCCTAGGCCACATTATACATATTTTTAAATATTATTCTTCAAGCTAGTTTCATGAGTTGTAGGAAGTGACAGAACTGCTCGAGTCAGACTTTTCGCAGCCAACACCGCGAAACATCTCAAAACACAACAAGCTCACCAGATCTTTTGAATCTGTGTCCTATGCTTCGAGACCAGCCAATGTGATGGATGAGTGGACTGTACATATGGCACCAGAAGTCATCAGTTTTGTCTTCACTTTCTTCATACACCAACCTCAGCCGGCCCCCAATGACACTCTCAACCACTGCCACCCTTGTTCGGCAAAGGTGGGTTTTGTCAACAACTTCTACTCTCATGGAAGTTTTGAAGGGGTACTGCATACTCTCAGACACCTTAAAGTGACAGAAAAAAACCCATTCTGTAAGAATATACCCTGGTTTTCCATATTCATCTGCCTACTAAAGCACAGTATTGATGCACTTGTCATTTAATTCAAATACTTGTTAATCAACCTGCAGAAATGACACAGATTATTTATCTTCTATTTCATTGTACGTGGGGAGCAATGAAATGTTTCAGAAAACAGATCCTACTATGTTTTAATTGTACCAAGTTCATCCCCTAATATAATTCTCACACAGGTTACATGAATTTTCCATTGACATAATGGAAGTTTGTTCAGTTGATAACAATGGATCAAGTTACCTCGAAACACAATTTTAACAATAAACACCTCAAGATTTTTTTTTTCTTGCTTGCTCATCCACTCAAAATAAAGCATTTTAAAATACTGCATTACAAAAGGCATGGAAAACAAATCTTCAATGTAATTAAAACTGGCTGCTCAGATATTTCTTCATAACACAGCAAAAAGAAATGAAGAGAATGGAAATAGATGTTAACCCGCTTTGTGACAATAGATTGTGTTAAAAATCAGTATCAATCACTTGCCATTTTCATTATGAACTCCCCAAAGTATTGAGATCATGCCAAATTAATCTGGCTTCTAACTGAGCCAATTTTTAAACAAATATTAACAACTGCAACAAGGTTTTCTGTGTGCTTATTTTTTAAGCATTAGATGCAGTGTAAAACAACAAATTAAGTCTCATTCCTACTAAGAACTATATGCATCATCATCTCACAAGATTAGTAAGTAAACATACAGCACACTATACAGCAGCTGCAACAGTTGTAGATGACTGAAAACCAGGAAAAAACCAGTCCAGAGCAGGTGAAAAATATCAACATTTAAAAGTATGTACTTCATTGCATCTAGATCCATGCTATATTAACACATTTGGTTTCGTTTCTTGAAATAGTGCATGATAAAAATCATTCCTGAATCAGAAAAAAGCTTTCATTTTTCTTACATATCACAGGGTAGCTCTTGAGCACTTCTGGGTTTTCTGTGTTTTTTTTTTTTTTAGAATGTGGTATTTTAAAATTAAAGTAGACTAACTAGTTTTAAAAGAAAACTACTTTTTTCTAGAAAACACAGTTTTCCAAACACATACTGACAAGTGTGGAGGTAACTGGAGGAGAGATTCCAAGGAAAACTGTATCTAAGGGAAGAAACTACTGTATCACCTTTATTATAAGAAGAGCTAATGTGCCATTGTAAAATATTTCAGTTCTTCACAACTGTGCTGCAATTTCTTTTATAGAACATCATTGATATTGCATCAGCCTTACCTTCTGAGAAAAGTCAGGAGGAAGTGTTTTGGCACCAGTAAGTCGTTTCACTAGAAAAGTTTTCCAGTTTGTGTATTTGTGTTGGATGGCTGTTGCAAATGAAGGGGAAAAAATAAGCCACTGATTTTTAATTGTGTCCATTAGAGACAGTATTAAGAGTCTGGAATATGTAAAGAAGAAATCCCAGATGACTGTTAAAAGGCCTGGATGACAATAATGAGAAAAAACTTCTTTAGAGAATGAATGCTACCCAAGATTAATTTTATGGGTCAGGGAAAAGAATTTATTAACAAAATACCAATAAAATCAGTGCATGTTCCCATCACTGATTAGTGAACTGCTTCCACCCTGATCCTAAAACCTAAGTTGCATCAGATGGGCTACTCCAAGAAACACTTTCAACATCAGTCAAGTCCAAAACTTAAAATTATTTATTCATAACTGTCGAAGGAGTTATGTTAAAAGAATACTTTGATATCTGGACCATGAGCAAATTTAGTTTAATAAAGAGACTTTTGTATCAATCAATAAGGCTACTATTTACATACTTCGAGGAGGAACTAGGGGCTTCCCACTGGTTGCACACCAACCAACTGGGTGGATGTCAGACCCACAAATGTTGCACCAAAAGTCAAGACTTGAATCATTTTCAAAGCCTTCATATCTCAGCAGGGCATTGTAGCCTGAAAAGAAAGCAATCCCACTTAAAAAAAATACCAACATTAAACAAGACAATATGCATTAATATTTCTTTACAAATCATGATGAATATTACATCAGTTTTCTAGACTATAACTTCTCATGGGATGCTTTTCTATGGCACATTTCTGCATGTGATTAAAGCACAACTGGATTACTTTGATAAATGTGCATGTGCTATCATGTAAGTCAATTTTAATTAAAATTCTTGAACTGTAAACCTTTAGAAGTTACATGTAGGAGGACAAAAATAATTACCCACAATATCTGCTTTTTCATATCTTAGATCTGCGACCTTGAATTTTAAACTTTTTACCAAGACAAGTGATTTGTATAACGAGGCTACTTGCCAGCTGTTATACAATCTCCTATCTTCTCTGCACTGATCTTACTGTGCTCTGAGGCAATATTAAAAAAAACCCAACAAACCTAAACCAAGAACAGAAATTCTCAAGCATCACTGCAGCCACTGTAACAGTGACAGCACTACAATACACAACCTACTGACACAGCTCTGACAACCTGACCAGTGTCAACACTACAGTAACCAGGTGATCACCAAGTTATTAGCTCCCTTTACACAGTTCTTTTGATTATTTTAATAATGTCAACTAAAATGTATTTACCTGCTAATTTCACAATTCCAGCTATCCAGAAGACTTTGGTAGGTAGGTTGGAGTCAGTGTTTGGAACCTCCACTCGCACTCCTTCTGCAATATCACCCCAGCACGTCCCCATAGGTGCCTGTCATTTAAGGTTGGGGTTAAAAAGTCACCAGTTCACCACATGAAAATAATTATTTTTTGCTATATCAGTGTTTTACGAGTGACTTAAAAAGACAAAACAATCAATTTACAAATGACAAACATATGTTTAGAAAACACTCTTTCTATGAGAACCTACTTTGGTTTTGACTTGAAGCTAATGTGTAATATTGTAATTGTATCCAATTATTAGTGTGTGTGTACTGAAAAACCCTATACAATTTCAAGTTTAAATATCTGTTAAGCACAAGCACAAACTGTACATATAAGTCAGCTTTATTCTACTATTTTTCAATGAGGTACAAACTACCAATTTCATTGAGAATGGTAAAATTCCTCAGCAGTTCTACTTGCAACAAAAAGATGGTACTTTAAATTCATACCTATAGCACAGACATCAAAAATCTTTAAATTCTGTAAATCAGAAATGTGGCTGAAAAAAAAGCCTAGGAGTTATTTCTTGGGTCTATTCTCATGATTTATCGTGGTGGGGTTCATCACCCACTGGTTCACATCCTCTCAGAGGAACAGGCTTTCACATCATCACCTGCAAGTGATCACTCCATCAAGCAAGCAAAAAGAACAGAAGGCTCTGAGTGGCACCTTTTTAATGAACACCAGAAGGAAACACACAGCAAGACCCCTCACAGTCCTGCGTGAGGAATGTGTTAGTAACAAAAAGACAGACGAGCTTGATCAACTGCTAAGGATTTGTAGAAACCGGTGACAGAAATTACATTTAGTTTGCTATCTCAAGAAGAACATTTTGTTGAACAGGGCATCGTGAAAAGACAACTGAAAATGGTATTGCAGAGATATCAGAAATGCACAGTGCTGAAGAATCTAATACCTTAACAGTTACTCAACTGAAGCTTTTTTGGTAACAAGATAGAAAATGACTCAGTCTGCATTAAACTTGAGACCACCAATAGAAAGATTCACATCTGGGGTATTTTAGAACAACAGTCATAAATTCTAAGGTGTTCTCAGAAAAATAAATTGTCATCAGTTCAAAGATTATCCAGTTATTACAGGGACAACTGAAGGGATGCTCTGGCTCTGCAGACAGTGAGTAGAGTGTTCTACACTGTGTCTCATTTACAAAGCTCTTTGCAAACCCAGAGAACTTGACCACTCCGTGGGAATAGCCTCAAACTGCACAGAATTTTTGCTGAGAGCCACAGGTGAAGAAATCTGGCTTAATCCTGAATGATTGGAAATCACAGTATTGGAATTTTGCTGGCACTCAGAAATACCAACTAGCAGCACTAAAAGCTAAAGTTATAAGGGAAACCCATCACTAGTACTGAGGCTAGGCATGCAAAACTTAAACTAATTTTAACTATTAAAGGAAATGTAAGTTGTTGCAAGTATGCCAGTTTTTAGTCTTGAAGCCTGGTCTCTTCATGTTCTGCTATGTCCCATCTACACCAGTCTGGACCAGAGAGCTCTTCTGCCAACTGGCAGAAAGAGAGAAATATCCAACTCAAAAGATGATGGCTTATTTTCACACACAAAATATGCAGATACAACTTCTTAATCAATATGAATCCCATATTCACTATCATCTCTAAGTTGACACATGTAGGTTTTTGAATTCAACTGGGGAAATAAACTTCTCAAACTCCATGTTTTAGCAAATTTTGTTGCCTTGTATAGAGATACAGATGAGGCCAAACAATCAAAAATAGCAGTGCTGAATAATTTCATAATCCAGCTGCAGTCAATTGAAATATATTTTACTGCCTGCTCATCTATTCAGTTGATTCAGAGAGAGAAGTATATCAGAACACTTCTCCTGACATCAACCCATAATGGGAATGTGACAAATTTTTATTTCTAGAACGTGGATTGGTATAGAGGGAAATAGCAGAAAGTTAAATTTGTCCTTGTCTGTGAAAATATTGGTTCTGCTAGTTCTCCTACACCAATCCATATGGCTCAGCCTTGTGAAGAAGGAAGCCATCCTGTGCAGCATCACTACTGAAATGCCAGACAACGTTACTGTCCTGAGGGATGGTTTACACACTGCACCATCTTGGCTTTTTTCACTCATTATGAATGTTCTTAAGGCAGGAAGACTGGATAAACCAGGGCTGTGACAGCCATCTGCCTTCATCTCTCCTCTGCCTCATTAATCAATCAAGGTTTGCACAGTGCTTTTCCAAACTCAAAAAGCACTATAGAAGCGTTAACTCTTATTTTTCTGCTGGCTGGAAGGTGACTCTGCAGTCTGGATTGGCATAGTGTGAACTAGCAGAACCATCATTTACAGGTAAGAACAAATTTACCTTTCAGACTCATGACGAAGAGATCCACTTCATGTCACTCCCAGACAAGGAAGATGTGGTTCATGGCTTCCTGCTCCAGGAGATGACCTGGGAGGGCCTCTCTGTGAGCAGCAGATGCCTTCTCTGCAAGGTAAGGTGCAGTCAGGGAGGGCCTATTGGACAGGAGCACCTAAAGGCCAAGTATCCCCACATGCCCAGCTGAGCAAAGATCTCCTGGGTTAAATAAGTGACTTCTAAAGGTTATGGATGGCACCAACATTGCCATGATTTCAGATTTTGCCTTTTAAATCCTGGTTTAATTTAAAGTGATGCTACCAGTTCCTGAAGTGCAAGGAATGCTGAAACCTCGTGTGTGAGCAGTACCCCAACAACAGGTAATGCCAGAGGAGACAATGTGCAGAAGGGCTTAAAACACAAAGTTCAAAGCAAAGCACTGCCACCCAGTGCAACATCCTGGAAATGCTCCCTTAAGCTGGATTTATTTTAATAACACGAGAAACCAAGAGAAGGAAAATCTTTTGGCTCAGAATAAAATTCACCTGGAAGAAAGAACTCCAGGAAATGTGCACCTCACTAGCAACAGAGTGGAAAAAATAATTACTCTTAATTGTGCATTAGGCTGTACATTAAGTAGTACTGAGAAAGAACTCAAAGCACTGTACTTGCTTTCAGTTCTAGGAATGGTTTGGGCTAATAAAAGCAAATACAGAAAAAGGTAAAAAATGTTTAGAGGAGAAAGAAGCTGGAATGCAGGTCAGCAATGAGCTTGTAACATGTGACTAAGCTATAACACAATGTTAAAAATATTAAGAGGTTTTTCTCCTTGCATCAGCTACTGCTGAGTGACTGATTAAGGCAATTTGACTAAAAAAGCAGCTGCAAGGTGCACAAATGCCAATTGTGGCTTTGTCACAGGTTTCCTACACGACAAACCAAAGCAGTTCTCTACTTCAGTTTACTGAACTACGAGGTTGGCATGGTCATACCATTGCTACTGAATTTCATTAGTGTTACTCAACAGTGATGTCTGGAATAAAGGCAACAGGGAAGCACAAAACCCACATCAAAATACTTGAGAAAGAGCTAGAAGGAACTTCAAAGATATAGACATTTGAATTCTAAATTATAACTGTTCTAAATTGAAGAGGAAACAATCCCCCAGGAAAAAAAACACAACAAACCAAAACATCAATGGGAAATCTAAATCTGAGCTGAGATACTGAAGTGTGCCAGGTTATGAAAAAAAAATAATCAATAAGCCAAATCTCACAGCTCATAATTCCCCTAAATTGTCTTTAATATTGTTCCCTATCATATATTCACACAGATACACCAGTATAACCAGTAAATTCAATATATTTTATTGAATAACAAATTTAAGGATAGATATGTCATGATTTAACTGTCAACTAAAATCTTTGGTTTTGAACAGAATAAGCTTTTATATTCCATCACATACACACAACATGTGCATGGAGTCCATAATATGGATGGTAAACAAACAGTACAAACTTCTACAAATCAGAGCAACAGTACACAGAAAACAGCAATAATCTTTCCAGAGAGATGAAAAGAGTATTGTTTAACTACCAGTGTAAAGTGGGACAGAGAGAAGGATCTACCAAGAGAACACTAACAGATTCTGGCTGTTATTTTTCAAAGAAATAATTACAGTAAAGTTAAATGCAAATCACACCCTTGTAACACTAACTCACGTCCACCACAGAAGTGGAAATCTCCAAAGCAAGTTGTAGGATTTGCATTTTACTTGTCTAAAAAAGGAAAATGGGGACAGAAAAAGAACGAGCAGGTTTAGTGGCACTGGCGCCACGAAGTTTGTGAAAACTTTCAAGGCAAAATGTGAACGTTAGTGTGGTATTGGTTTATGTTATTGGTTCATCATTCAGCTTCATGAAGGAAGCAGTAAGAAATGGAGATAAAACTCCTTTTAATATAGAATGTTGCAGCATAATTTACAAGTGACCTGACTGTGGTAGCTACTGAAGGTGCCAAAAGCAGAGGCCACGTTATCAACGGACACGGACTTATGAAATTACTTCAACATGTACATAACTGTGGAAGCAAAATGCAAACATGCTGACTTGAACAGTTGGAATTTGATACAAATTCCCAAAGTTATACTAAGGCAAGGCTCTGTTCTGGGCAATAGTTAAGGCCTCTGAGCATAAAGGGTGCTATTCACAAAGTGCCAACTGCCAGGAGCCCTCAACTCCTACTGATTTATGAGCTGACAGGGCTCAGCATGAATTCCAGAGCTGGACAGAAAATATGTCTCTCTCCTCTCTCATGGACAACTTCTATGAAACAAAATGTTTGTTTTGATTGCAGCTTTCATCATATAATTTTGAGCAAAACAAAAATTTTGTAAGCTGGAACACTTCAACTTCCCAAATAAAAAAAAAAAAATATGCTGAGAAAACATTTTCTGTCAGAAAGTTTTTACTTAAAAGACAGAAAGTACTGACAATATTTTAAACAAGAGCTAATTACTGAAATTCAACAAACACATTAAAGACAGATGGTGCTAAATATTTTCCTCATCCCCTAAGTTCCTCAGTCATTACAGAATGTATTTTTGTTTGGAATTGCTGGAACTCTAATACAAAGAAAAACAACCTTTTTAATTTCAGATTTCTAAAAAGCCTTCATTTTCTTGTATTTCTACACTATCTGGAAGCAAAAGTGACAGGGAGAATCTGACTAAAAACTAAGAAAAAAAAAAAAATCCCAAATCTAAATATGTAACCAAAAGATCAGTCCACACAATGGAGCAGGCCTGACTTAATCTAAAAAGCCTTTTGTAACTTTTTCTAGTATAGCATGACTTGGTTGGTTTGTTACTCTGCAGTACATTGGATGACTTCATGCCCTGAATGTGAGAAAAAATAACTCCACAAGTGTTTAAGAGCCCTCCTTTTACTTTTTGTTTATGAGAGTATATGTGATGAAAGGAACTAACAGGGTTCAGAACGGTTTTAAAGGGCGGATAAAAATATATCTATCTAGAAAACAGTCACACTAACACAGTTTATAATATAGGTTTCTAAGATCACAAAATATATTTGCAAAAATGTTTTGCAAAAATGAATCCAAGGATTCCCGTGGACTCACTCTCTCATGCCACACACACACAAGGAAAAGCACATATTGAGAAATACTCACGTGTTTAAAGCAGGTAACAGGAGCTGCTGTAAAGCTATTGCTATTGATGTAGTTACCCCAGCTGAAACCTTCCACGGGGACAGCTGCTAAGAGAAAGTTATTTTATTTAGGAAGCTGCTAATGAGTCACAAATCTTTTATTATTTTTGCCTCAGCTCTGTTTATTTGCTGTTACCTGCTTTCGTCTTTGCCTGGTTTTGCAGAGTTGCCTGGTACTGAGCATATGCTGCTAATTTAGCCACCAAAGGCTGTTTTTGTAGAACTTTAGCCTTCTTTGTTGGAGGTTTACCCTAAAACAACAAAAAAAAGCTAAGTAAATATCGTCTTTCTAAACTCCCATCAGGAAATTTCCACAGGTCTGTAGCACATCTCTGGTGCATTTAACTAAAAATCAGAACACCACAGAATAGAAGTTGACTAAGTAACACAAAACTACACATAATATAAAATAGATTTAAAAACCAGCAGCAAAGAATGTCCAAAAGATGACTTTTGTACTAGTATTCCAACTTGAACAGCTTTATAGATTCATTGTTGTTTACCTGAAAAAAAGATATCTTTTAAAAGCAGGTCAAAAGGAAGAACTTTTAATCTAATTTATACCAATGTAATTTCTTGGCATTTGTTACAATGAATTTGAGATAGGATACAATGATACTTCTTGACATTTCTGTATCTTTTCTTGAATGTTACAAATGTGCCTTGATGATTATTTGATTAATATTTAAGTGAACAGACAATAGATTTTGCAATCTATATAGTTAAGAAATCCCTTAAAACTGAAACACAAGGCTAAAAAAAAATCCCTTTATGCTCTCTAAAGCAAGAAAGTATTTTCACAGAATCACAGAATATGCTGAGTTGGAAGGGACCCCTAAGGATCAGGGTGCAGTCCAACTCCTGGCCCTGCACAGGACCATCCCCAAGAGTCACACCATGTGCCCCAGACTATTGTCTAAACACCTCTTAAACTCTGTCAGGCTTGGTGCTGTGATGACTTCTCTGGGGAGCCTGTTCCACTTTGAATGTGAGATGCATGGAATTCTAAGTCACGACATACACAGACTGAAGTTTTCTTCCGAACTTTCTCTTGCAGAAGAGCTACTCCAGGAGAAATGAATTAGAAGAGTGACTATTCTTTTTATTTTTTTAATTAATTTTGATAATGACAACTTTCACCAAACAACGCTGCAGAGCAAAGTGATTTGCTCATTACTCACACAGCCGAAGCTTAAAACCGTGGCTTTAACTTCCGTGGAAATTTTCATCATTTAGGAAACTTCTCTTCAAACATGCAGCAAGCTCCACAAGCACACACATTTCACAAGCACAGACTACAGTAAGGATGTAAAGAAAACGGGGTCTGTACCGCTACCTGAAGCCTGGCCAGAATGCTGGCCTTCTTGGAGTTGGAGGAGTAGCTTCTGGAGCAGGACACGCTGCAGAAGCGCTTTGTTTTAGAGTAAAAAGCGTCACGGACACCAACCATCCCACACATCTCACATGTGGCTGATCAGGAGAGAAAAACACCCGTGTTAAGAGGGGAACTAAAAACCTCAGTAAAAATTCAGAGCAAAGGCAACAGAATGAAGGTCCGGGTGGTGACACAACTCAACAGTTTCTGAGGGTTTGGTCCCGAAGGGAATTGCACAGAAAAAGAATTTAAAACTTAAACCACCACCACTCGTGTCAGTGAAACAACAAGAACCTCAGGTTCACTGGTGAAATGGTGCCTCCCTTCTGCTCCCTATTAATTTTACCCCTGGTAGAAGTGACTGGCTCAGCTAAATCAGCTAATGCAGCTTGCTGTGTTTTCGTGGTTCTCAAGGAAACATCTGTTTTGAATCTGGGCCTGTCAAGCCTCATTTCCTCTAAATATTTAACATGTCCAACATGAAATAAAACCAGATCTCTTTTCTGATTCACAAATTAGTATATTCAAAGTACCCCAGCCCACCAATGTTCCCTTCTGGCTGGAATCACATGCTTCAGAGGTGGACAGCTGTGGCCCACCAAGTTGTTCCAGGATGACTAAGACTGAAACCAACTCACGCCAGTGAGACAACACCAAAATTCTACTAATCTAGAGAGCTCTACTAATCAGTGATGATTTTGGATAAAATATTTTTCCCCAGTAATAAAAGAAACCTCTCCTTTTAAATTTATTTTCCCAGTATACTCTAGCTCACAGCTAGTGGAGAGGGTACAGGTATACACTGACAGGCTTTATACAGTAGCAGTAATGAAGTTTTCCTGCTATAGGAAGAAATATATTTAATATATTGTGTATACAACATAAAGGGCAGAGAGAAGGCATGCCCTAGCATAGAGAGAACACACTGACTTTCCTCAAAGCTCAAAGAATAAAAACACTACACATGAGAACATACACATGCGTGTGCAGATATACACAACACACATTTGATGGGAGGTCAGATGTTCCCATACTATTTCTTTCCAGTCAACAGGATTCAAAATCTATCATTTCAATCTAGCAAAACCCAAACGATTCCTCCCCTCCCAAAACTAACAAACCCCAGCCCTTTCAGCTGTTTTAGACTCTTTTCAGTTGGGACCAATATTTGGGACCGGACCCACACAACTCACAGCAGAGTCTAAAAAAACATAACTATGTAACTCTTTGTACTCAGGCACCACTTACTTACCCATGCCAGATTTGCCATCTGGATAAGTATAAACTTGCCCATTGTTCTTGATAATTGGGAGACTGGATGGCAAAGGAGCAACCTCCTCCTCACTCTCATCTGAACTGGAGCTGCTGCTGGTGTCCTCACTACAACTATCATAACCGTCAAACATCCCGAACGAGTCTCGGCGTTTCCTCTCCACTCGTGAAGTATGTTCTGTCTAGAAATTAGAAACAACCAAACAACAAAACCACCACAGAATAGCAGGACATTCTGAATGCAAACGTTTCAAAGTCAAGCTTAAAGTGTTTCAAAGGTCAGTCTTTAGATGTTCAAGGAACTGCTCTATCAGCACAGACGTGAGCCATGCACTGCCAATTAAACGAGCACTGTTATCATCTAAACTGGCCAATTCTGGTATTGTGATATATGGGAAGAAAAATCTATCTCCCAATCTACTCAGAATACACACATTTCTCTTCCTTAGCACCTTCAGAGTTCATTAAACCTGATGTGCTGAATACTGACAGCCACACGGATCTTACATGCAAATGAGCACATTCCAGATGGCTACAGCCAATCCCACCAAAACCCGTTCATTTGAGAAGGCTGGGCAGAGAAAAGGCAGTTCAACCAAGAGGGCACTTATACCACAGGAACAGCAATGAGGGGCTCTCTGCTCTCATTGGCTTGGGGGGTTATCCATAAATCACTGTGTCTCCCGTGTGGAGCAGGAACACCTCTGCACCTCACAGGGATGTTCTGGGGATTAATACATTAACGATTATGAAGAGCTCAGTTACTATGGCAATGGGGTCTGTACAAATGCTGAAAGATGGAAAGGTGACTAATTTGCCACTGTCATATACAAAAAAACTTGTTACATAATAGTTTTTTCTATAAGCAAAAAACCTAAAGTCAGATAAAAACATAAGTTCTTGATGAATGCATGACAGTTAAGCAATTTCCAAAGACACCAAAGAAGAAATAGATTAATTGGGATATTTTTTCTGAGGCACATCCAACACATGCATTTTGATAGTGATGATTTTCACTTTATTAATATCTTACACAGCTCTGCTGAAACAAGGCTACTGCTACATGAGCTCCCCTAATAAAGCTGAGAAAAATATTTTTAAAATTTCAAAGTACTTCCATAATCCTTAATAGTACCTACTAAGTTTGAAAGGTAGTAACAGATAAAGAGAAAACAAAGAAAAATTCTACAGTAGAAGCACAAGTTAGGAGAATGAAGCACAGCCAAGAAAACAAGAAGAATTGAGAAAGCCTTTGCCTCTTTCTCTTCTAAGAGTTAATTTCATTTAAAAGTCAATGTAGACAGAAAAATAATATGTGATTGGGCTTTTCTTTCTTAAATTGCATTTGGGTTCATAGCTTTAAGATTTCATCACAGTAATTCCCCAAATCCCTTTCCTAGAGAGTATATGCTGAACATCTTTATTGTTGGATCTCATCCGAGCCTTTTTCTGCCATGCTATCCCTTTATTATAATACTCTCTATTCTCCTTTGCAATCTGAATAAATCCTATTATGGAAGGATTTCCTAATAGTTAAAAGGGAGAACTGATTTCCACACTGACCCAATGTTAGCATTCCATTATGAAAAAAAAATTTCCCCCCAAAACCCAGTTATGCAATAAGGCAAACACATTTAACACACTTAAACAGCTCTGAAACAAAACAACAAAAAAAGTCAGTGTGATGTTAGTTATGCACATATTCCTCAATTTGATATTAAAACCAATCAAAACCTTGGGTAGGGCATAACCTGACAACTCCCTGGAAGCACTGGCCATGGTACCCCCGGGCATTATTAGAGGAAACACTGAGCCATGGCAGGCAAAGCCCAGCCCTGACCTGCCCTGGCAGCAGTGCCACCTGTGCCATCTCCCCTGTGCCACCAGCCACCAACAAGCACCACCAGTGACTTGTTTGTGAGTGCACGTGTGTGCAGCTCAAGGCAGGAGTTGAGCACAACGTTGCCATGGATACAGGATCCTGTGAATGCTGCCAGGAATTTTCAGATCAGAAGATGAAAACTAGTCCTCTTCCTCAAGGTTTCATGAACTCCTGAATCTCTCTCAATATTTAAGTTCCCCTGACCACAGCCTGTGCTAACAAAATGTAATTCCATATGAACCATTCACAACAGCACTACCAGAACACCAGGATGCCTGGGAGGTTTTATGGATCGATAATAGTGGTGTTTCAGAGCACAGTGAAGGATCTCCTCCTTCATTCCCTCATCCTCCCCAAGTCAGCTGATCTGATTTCACCAGGAGATTAGGGCCTCATCCCACAGCAAGGTAATTCTATGGTTTCAGCCCTTTATTGGAGGCTGCAGTACAAGGCAGTCTCAGGGACATCCCCTTCCCATTCCAGACTGGAGAAGGCTGCACCCACAGGGCAGTGGCTTTGCTAGCAGAGCTCTGAAATGCTCTCTCAGCTCAGAGGGAATTAAAGTGCAGCCCATTCCCAGTCCCTCCAACTCCCAGTGCTACAGCAGAGACTCTCTACAGCCAGCTCTGCTCCCTCTGCAAGGGAAGGGGGAAGAAGGGGGTGAGGTGAAGGACCAGAAACAGGCTGAAGGCAGGGCCAAGATGACAATCACAGACACCACAACTGCACTTGGCTCTTTTTGTTCTTCTTTTGCATCACATCCATTTAGAACCTCGATGTCACTGCTAAGCCCTCTTTGCCAAAAACAATCCACAGATGAGAAGGAAAACATTTTCTCTGTCTAAATGGAAACTTGGGCCTTGTACTAAGAAAATCATTCTTCAGCATTATACAAGTTCCTAAGTAGCAATCATCAAGATTTCAGTTTAACTACACTGCCAAAACAAGTCTCACATCACCTTTCCATTTTCTTAATATTTGGCCAAATTGTTCCAATTCAAAATTTTTGTAACTCAGATTTGCAATCCAAAAAAGCAGCTTTGCTTACTGTTTAAAAATAATACTGTACTTTATTATAAAACATTTCTATCTAAGTTTTTGCCAGAAAATGACCACGTGTGCCAGATAATTTACGTAGGACATTCTTAATGTTCATTTATAGTTATTGTCTGGATTGTGATTCTGGAGAAAGCACTCAAAATATCTTTCATGAGACTTAGAAGAGGTAGAGTTTGCAGGAAAAACCCAAACAATTACTTTGTGCACAAAAGTAGGTGGAAGTTAGGGAAGATGATATACAAATACCTATGCTGGAATTTTCCTGGAGAAGATCAAAACATTTCTATTTTGATAATAAACACCACCAAGGTTCTTTCTAACCCATGTTAAAACACAGCATTTGTAGAAATAAGTGAAAAACATGTGGAAGCTTCTATAACCCTTCCTGCAGAACTTGGATGGACCCTGCAAAAGGATAGGAACTCTGGCACCTGAAACTGAAAAGACTTGGGGTATCAACTGAATTCAAAGGTCAAAACCACATCCTTAAAAGAAAGGACAATTTATGCCTCAAACAGAATTATAACCAAGATAAAGCAGCTGCTTTGGTATAGCAGCAGCCTGTAATTCCTCCTGAGTTCTTGTTGACTGGTTCCATCTTTCTCTTTTGAACATTAAGTATAAAATTTGCCCATTCCTGATTTTGTAGGGCCTCAATCTCTACCACCGACAGCTCCTGAAGTGCTGGTGGTCTCTAAACACACTGTGGGGAACTTCATCAGACACCAGGAACTTGGAGCCATCTATCTCATTCTCTGCTCCTTTGCTATCCCTCCTATCTTCAAAAAGGGCAAAAGGAGGATGCAGGAAATGACAGACCAAGGGGCCTCATCTCAGTCCCTGGNCACATTCTCTGCTCCTTTGCTATCCCTCCTATCTTCAAAAAGGGCAAAAGGAGGATGCAGGAAATGACAGACCAAGGGGCCTCATCTCAGTCCCTGGGAAGGTGAAGGAACAAGCAATGCTGGAAGTCATTTCTAGGCACATGAAAGACAAGGAATTCTGAGTTCTTGTGTGTCTGAAGCAGCACCTCACCGTGGCAGCTGCAAAACACAGGTAAGCAAACAAAAACCACCCAAAATCAACAACAAACCAGTTTCTTACTCTTCACAACTGGACTTAGGACTAAAAATCAGGTTGAGGAGGTTTTTTTCCTCAAAATAGAATCGAATCAGTGTTGTTCACCTTTGAACAAATGTGAGAACATATTCCTGCCTATCCATAGGAACTGCTTGGAGCAGGAGCCTGGCTTGCTATAAAACAGAACCTTGTGGTGGGTTAATGCCAAAAGAGGAGTAGCTGGAGAGACTCCACCACTAATAGAGTCGAGCTGTACATTAAGCAGAAGCAACACACAAAGAAAAGAACAAGCCAAACTTTGAAGCGCCCCAGCTAAGGCTGATTTTCCTAATAAGATTACTGGTTCCTCAACAGGGAAGGGTTTCAGTCAGAGCAACATCAAACCTGGGCTGAGCAGGACTATTTGCTCGGGGGGGGTTTCTTGCATTCTTTTCTTTATTGAAGGGAGGGGTGGAGAAAGGAGCTTTTAAGAACTGCTTTCTTATTCTGCCCAACTTCCCATTTTCCTGTTCTTCCTCTCCTCCCTGTGAATACTTGGCAACAGAGTATTTTTAAGAAATACTCTTAATTAACCATTACATAAGGCAAATGGCATGATAAAAGAATATAGTTAAGGAAACCGGTTTCCCTGAAAGCAGGAAGGCAACTCTAAACAAAAATGAAAATAACTAGTTTCTCACTCACTTAACACATACTCTTTAAATATATATATATACACACACATTAAATTTGATCAGCACATTATAGCATATGTTCTTTGAGTACAAGAACTACTCTTACAGCATAAAAAAACTTGTCACAAAGGGTAAACAATGCATGGCCAAAACACAAAATAAAACTATTTAACGTTAATTAGACATCAAACACTTACTCAGGAAATGGCTTTAGTGACTTGATGAAGACTATTTGCTCAACTATTGGCAACATTTATGAGAAAGCATTTTGAGGGTGAAAACTTGCAACAAAAATATCCAGTTATTATGTAACCAAACCTCTTGCCCCCAGGTAAGTGTACCTGGCCACGGGAGGATGACCCCCAACAGTCACAGAAAGGTTTCAAACCACTCCAAATGGTTGTTGTTACTACTGAATCAAGCTGGGGCACGAATTCAGAATGGCAGCAATTTGGAGCTTTGGGCACAAGGGCTGTAGCTTAAGGAAGGCCCACCAGCACCTCAACAGAGGGATCACTTCCTACATTGAGCCCCAACCCCCCCAAACATGACAGAAGTATGGACAGATGGTATCTGAGGCCAAGGTCAACACTGAGGTCACCACAACCTTCAAGCCAAGGGGCTGTGATAAGACAGATTCACTTTAATCACATATCCTTAACAGATCCAAGTGTATTTCCAAGCTAGCCTTAAAATTGATGCACGGCTTTTGTTTTCAAAAGTCTATTGATGTTTTATGCTACAAGCTCAGTTTTGAATGTTGGCATTAAAGAAACAAGACGATGGAACTAATTTATTACAACTCTTCTGAATGTAAGCTGGCCAAAATAATTAACAGTAGAATCCCAGCTTGTCCCTGTGGAACTGAAGCCTAATTGTGCCTCAGAACATGACAAAAAATAGAAAATTCAAACATGGTACCAATTTAAAGAAAACACACTTTCAGCTTTCATTTAAAACAAACAAACAAAAACCCCCAAAGCTAAACATCTTGGGATTCCTGGAAATCAGAACCAACCAAACTTACTTTTTTTATATAAGCAACTCACCTCTATCTGGAAATGTGCCTTCCACTCTTATTATAAGTAAAATCTCTGCTGGAAAATTACAGAAATGTTTTTTCCTGTCTCTTCATTTGCTATGTATGACAGCATTTTGTCTGAAGCCAGTTTCTGCTGTTTGCCAATGGTTTTGTCCATAGCCTCTTCCCCAGGGGGTTTCACACAAGAGGGGAGACTCTTTCATAAAAAAATATATCAAATTAGCAGGGAATTTTGGAGGGGGGTGTGATGATTAATATGTGAAATATCTGAGTTTTGAGAAAACTGCAAATCTGTTACAAACTCCATTATGTTTCTACAAAGCCCTTACAGGAATATCTGGAAGAGGCAAATACTTCACTTTAAACACTGTGTTACCATTAAAAAACAGAACAACAAACAAAACAACAAATTTAAGTGTAAACCCTCCCAAAAAAACACCACCAACCCCAAACCCAAAGTCTTCAAAATCTGAACTCATTTCATGTGCTCAGAGCCAGACTGAGCAAACGATCCCCCATGCCCAGAGCGTACCCACTTACCTGGGAAATGCAGGAATGCAGTAGTGGTTTTGCAGAAGGTACCAAAAGCCTTGCAAAATTAAATCAAGTTTTAGAAGGTAAGAGAAATAAAATCCAATGAGAGGGAGCTTCTGTGCATGTTTTCATCGCTACCACAGGTACCTTGCTCTTTGGGGAACAATGAAGGGAATTCTGACTTCCAGCCTAAAATCCTTCGGCACGTTGCACAAGCCCACAGGTCTTCTCAAGAACAACTCCTAAACTACTCCTGTGGCATAAATAGTAACTTCCACATAGGAGAGAATGTACCTCTGCATGGTTCCCTACAGCCTGTATTGCACACTTCCTCAAAACTATCCCTAAACAGAAGCAATGAGTAAAGGCAATTAATCTATCAAGTTCTATTGCCTTTCTAAAGGCAATAAAAGGAATATATTGTTTTAGTTCCCACTTAATGTTCCAGATTAGACTCTCTCACAGCCTTCTTATTCCATTCCTTACAAGTCAAAAGCAAACTGTTAAATATAATAAATAAGTAAATGCATGTTCTCAGACTTGTAAAATAATTTTAATTTAAAATACAGGAGCTTGCCCTGCAGCTTTTAGTTTTAACAGGGGTTAGATGTGAAAAATCGCAACGGTTGCCACCCACATTTTAATAGGTGTTTTAAAATAAATTACTTTTGCACGCACAGGAGTTTTTACCACAATCAGCATACGCTTTGTGGCAGGACTTTTAAATTTTAAAGCCACACTGGGGCAGAAATTGAGCGATTGCTAAATTTTAAACATTTCAAACATTTCCAGCAACAGCCTGAAAGCGAAACTGGTTTCAGGGGTTTACTGCTGCTCACAAAGAGAACAAAGTCACAATATCAGCGGTCATAAAAATCGCAGGGAGTGGGGAAGTGGCTACAAAGAATCCAAAACTTCTGAAGCGCTGATATTAAAGAAAAGTCCACAGCGTTTAAAACGAGCCTGGGAAACTAAACTCTGAATTAAGCTGGGAGTACCCGAGGAAGTTGCGGAGCAGGAGAGGGATCGAGGGTTGGAACTTTTCTCCGCGGCAGGAGGAGGGAGAGGGGAGGAAAGGACAAAACCCGGCCACAACAAAGGGGTCCCGCCGAGCCGCCCCCACGTGCCCCGGCCGGGCCCCGCCGCTGCCCCCCGGGACCCTCTGCCGGGGGCTCCCGGCCCCGAGCAGCGCCCCGGGGAGCTCCGGGGCGGGCACACACCCCCGGCCCCGGGGGCCGCCCCCGAACAGCCGGAGGAGCCCCCGGCTCCCTCCCACGCCCCGCGGGGCCGCCCTCTCAGCACGAACAGCGGAGGTCTTCCCCCCCCTCAGGCCGCTCCCCCCCTCGGGCGCGGGGGGTCCCGCGGGGGCCGCTCCTCCCGCACTCACCAGCAGCTCCTTTGTGCTTTCCATCAGGCCCTCATGGGCAGGAGCCGCCCGCTGGCTGTGCCCGCTGCCCCCGCGGGGGCTGTGCCGCTGGGGCGGCCCGCGGCGGGGGCCGTGCCCGGCGGGGCAGGGCGAGGCGGGGGCGGCCCGGGCGGTTCGGCCGCTCCGAGCGCCGCGGACCGACCGGGACCGACGGCGGCCGCCGGGACATCAACAACACGAGCGCGCGGCTGCGCAGGCGCGGACACGCCCCCCACGGGCTCGGGCAGCGCGGGGCGGACCCAGGGCCGTGCCCCCCCCGCCTCCTTGCGGGCTGAACCATTCGCAACATGGGGGGTGGGCTACGCGCCACGGCTGGGGTGAGGCGGTAAGACCGGCCGCCCCCGCTGGTGGGTAGCAAAGCGAGCGAAACGATGGCTTGCGAGGTCAGTGAGGGCTCTCTGAGGAGCGTGTGATGGGGGGCGCTGGGCGTTGGGAACTCCCCTTCCCCCGCGGGGGCGCAATGGAGCGGCCCGGCCGCGGCCGCGTCACGTGGAGCGCGGGGTGGGCGGGGGGGGTGGGAGAGAACAGAAGGCAAAGAAAGGAGGTCACGTGACCGCGGCTCGCGAGGGAAGGGGCGGTGCTTGGATCACGTGGGGAGGGGCGGAGCGGAGGGCCAGCCTATCGCGGGAGAGGGGTGGAGCCATGCGGGGGACACACGTGACAGGGGCGCACGTGTTCCGGTTCCGGGTCCGGGCAGCGATGAGGGGCCCGGCGGCGGGGACGGAGCGGAGAGCCACGAAAATGAAGAAAGCGTCCAAAATAAAGGCGGTGAAAAAAGCGAGGGAAGCGTCTCAAGCGGGCAAAGCGCCGAAAATGGCGAAAACGAAGACTCCGAAGCGGGCGGCAGCCGTGGCGGATCAGGCGGCGGCGGAGGCGGCGTGGCGCGCCCGGCACCTGAGGGATGTGAGCCAGGCGTCGGGCGCCGAGCGGGAGCTGGAGGAGCTGGTGTTCGGTGACAGCCTCAAAGTGGAGGAGGACGAGCTGCTGCGGCGCCTGGGCGAGCCCCCGAGGGTACGGCCCGGCCCTGCCCCAACCCGGCGGGAATCGGTGCCCCCTCCCTCCCCTCATGTCCCCCGCCCGTGCTCACTTGGCCCCGTTTGGTTGTTTTCAGGTTGCTGCCACAGAGAGGAAAAGTCTCCAAGCAGACTCCAGCGATTCCGAGGTAGAAAATGAAGCGAAAGGCGACTTGTTGCCCAGAAAGCCGGCCTGGGTGGATGAGGATGATGAAGCCGAGGAAAAGTGAGTCCGGGTTTGCAGGTGGGAGCTATGTATCAAACTTGTAAACTTAACTTGACTGTAAGTGGCTGTGGTTTGAATGATCTTTGTGTTCTCTGTGTGTTTCCTCCCCCCTCTAGTGTTGACATGACCCATAAATACAGGAAGGATTTCATGAAAAGCGATGCTGAGAAGACACTTACTAAGAAAAAACTAAAAAGAAGACTTGAGGAACAGTGAGTTTCGTTACTGTTTTTGTGGCTGACTTTATTGAGGTGAGATCATTGATCTCGTGAATGCAGATAAATATCTCCAAGGTGGGTGTCAGAGGATGGTGCCAGACTCTTGTCAGTGGTGCTCAGTGACAGGGCAAGGAGCAATGGCCATAAACCAAAACACAAGAGGTTCCACCTCAGCATGAGGAAGAACTTGTTTCCATGGAGGGTGGTAGAGCCCTGGAACAGCTGCCCAGGGAGGGTGTGAAGTCTCCTGCTCTGGAGACATTCCAAACCCACCTGGATGCGTTCCTGTGTCACCTGCTCCAGGTGACCCTGCCCTGGCAGGGGGTTGGACTGGATGATCTCCAGAGGTCCCTTCCAACCTGAACTATTCTGGGATTCTATGAGATAAAATACGTTTGTGTGACATTTATGTAAACGTGCATTAGCATTGTCTGGACTAATTACTGTAATACTTCTTTTATTCGAACTGCACAAATTAATTTGTCTTTTAGGGAGTTATACCAGAAACTGAAATCTTAAAAAATCTAAAAAACTTGCACAGTGTTTTAAGCATGACTATTCCTGTAAAATTGTGATGGTGTATCTTCTAAGTGCTTAACTCATAGAGAGAAATTACTTTCTCACGAAAGTTTTTTTTTTTTCCTCTCTTCCCCCTTCTCTTTCAAGGTTTCAGCAAGCCATGGGAGGAGTTCCTGCCTGGGCTAATTTAGAAAACAGGAAGAAATCCAAAAGGACTTCAAGTGATAGTAAATAATTCTATTCCTATTCTAATAAGTGCTTCTGTGATTCTTTGTTCAGCTTCTTAGAAAATAATTATTTCTGATGTTTTCTCTGTGTAGTGTGATAATATGGTGGATAAGTCACCTTTATTCCTTCCTTCAGTGTGCTTTGATTTAATTTGTTTTTGTAAGGAATTTATAGGTTTTGATGTGGATATTTGTGCAATTGACTGTTTTCATGTGCTTTGGTGTCATGAGGTGAGAGTGATGAAGATGATGATCTTCTACGCAGGACTGGCAATTTCATAACGAGCTCAGAGTCCCTGCCAAGAGGGATTTTGAAGGTAAAGATGAGCCTTATCTTTCCACTTCAGTTTGCCCCACACTTTGATTGTTGTTGCTGTGTAAAATTAGTGATTATGTGAATTTCTTGTTTCTGTAACTAGAAGCTCTAAAGGGTGAGTGTTGGACAAATTGAATATTTCATGTGAAAGCATGAAGCAATAGATTGAGGTGTATTTTTTGAAATAAGGATTTTTACGTACTCTGAAGTAGCACCTTGTAGTAGCATTTTAATTTAGAATGTAAATTTTAATTTAGGATTTTAATTTAATAGGGAGGTTGGAATTCTCCCACAGCTTTAAGGTACTGGTGTGATCTTTGAGAAGTGACAGCCTTAAGCGAGTGCTTCTTCTACTGTCTCTTCTACAGCTGTTTCAGATGGGTCAGAATGCAGCTGGATTTCCACAGAGGGATAATTTCACAGGCAGTAGAAAGGCTGGTGGGTTCAGCCTGTGTTTGCATCACTGCATTGGAGCAACTCCCTGAACCGGCTCTTTGTGCTCCGCTTGTGTCAGGCTTCCTAAAAGTTCATCATAGGGATTGAGGTCTTGCTCTTGTAGCATAAAGTGTAATTAAATTGGCTTCTCATCAGCATTAAGTGTTTGGATTTTTTTTTTTTAGCCTGTTTGATCTGTGTTTCAGATGAGCACCTGCCTGCCTGCAAACCAGGAACGCTTTGCCGATGGAAAGCTGGTGACGGTGCAGTTCCATCCTTCAGCCCAAGTGGTCATGACTGCGGGACACGATCGGTCTGTGTCGCTCTTCCAGGTGAAGAATTCCAGCCTCTTCTGTGCAAATGGGCACTAGTACAGAACCCTTTTTTATTTTTTTATAGCCTGGACTGACAGACTTTGTTTTCCCTCTTCCTGTGCACACAGGGTTGTAATGTCTGTGGTTAAGATGGAAATTCTTTGGTTAAAGGCACCTTGGAAGATGTTTCCATCTGTGACTGCATATCAAGCATGTACAGTGTACAGGCAAACTTAGTTGTCTTAGAGTTTTTGGTTGAAGATTTGTTTTTAAAAACATTTGGGTTTAAGGTTTGCAGTGATCTGGAGTAATGAGGTTTTCTGTTTATAAGCCTGTAATGTGGGGAGCAGTCCACTTTCATTTAAAACTCTAATATTGCTGTGAAATCATGTTGGGAATGGAGAGGCTGGACTGCAGCAGGAAGAGGCTCATCCTGTTCCTGTTCCTCTGAAAACTAAGATCATAACTCTCTTTAGGAAGTTTCAGCATGGCCCAGGATCAGTGGAATGGTCAGGCACAAGTGGAATTTGATAGTCCCAGAAGGCTGCAGGAAAAAAAAAAAAAACAATTCAAAGCAAATGTTTCCATTTAGAAAAAGCACCATAATAGTGATGATTTGAACAAAGCATGGGCTAGACAGGGAAGGGCAAGTGGTGTGAAGTGTATCCAGGAAGGCTGGGAGTGCCTGTTATATAGGGTGAGGAGCCAAGAGCCAGGTTATTTGTGGAAGAGAGGAAGAGTTTAATGCTTCAGGGTGGTTTACCTCTTGCTTGTACTGGGTACTTGATATGTTTTTTCTATTTAAAAGTATTTGGTATGTTCCTCAGTATGATAACGTGGTTTGTTATTTTCTTTTTTGAAGGTGGATGGTATAAGGAACCCAAAAATACAGAGCATCTATTTAGAGAGTTTTCCAATTTATAAGGCTCGTTTCAGTGTTGATGGAGAACAAGTTATAGCCACTGGTACTCACCACAGCATGTTCTTTGTGTATGACATGATGGCTGGAAATATTATTCCTATACCCAAAGTCCGAGGTAGGTGTTTCAGTGCTGTAAGTGCCTGGGTGTAGTTGAAACTGTCCCAAATAGAGATGGCACATGAATTTGCTTTAAAAGGAAATGCAGTGAGTTGTTGGAGGTTATATTTTTAACTTGTCTTCGGGGAACAAGTCCCTTTAGTTTTAGTTTTTCTGGGGTACTAAACATTAATTGTCACACATAAGCAAGGTTGAGTTTAGCTTTGCTGTGACAGTGAATTACAGCAGTGAAAAGCTGAAGTGGAGTCAGGTCTTACTCATATTCATCACACCTCTGAATGTTGAGGCAAAAGAATAAATTATGCCTATTTCAAGTTTTGAATCTCTTTTTAAAGGTGTGGAGGAAAGATTTCTCAGAAACTTCGAGCTCTCTCCAGATGGATCATTTATGCTGCTAATTGGAACCTCGGGTTACCTTCACTTGCTGTCCATGAAGGTAATTTCTCCTCGTGGTTTGTGTAGCTTCACTTTCTTGGTACCTTTTCCCTTTTGAATCTGCTTATATTCCATCTGCAAAGCAATCTAGCTTTCAGTTGAAACAAAGGCATGACACATACTGTGACAGCCTTCAAAAATGTGCTGCTGACTCAACTCACTGCAGCTTTAGAGAATTATTTTGGGGTGTCTGAGAATTCATTCTGCTCTGCAGCTCTCTGGGGCTGCTGGGCGTCAGGGCAGAGTTGGGAAAAAGTCGTGTGTCAGTGTTGAACTTCAGCTTTGTGCTGGCAAAAGGAATGGCCTCAGCATGGAAACAGGCATGCATGGAAACAGGCATCACCCTCTCTGGGGGTGGGAGAAATAGAGGACTGCTTTTTTGAGAGTCGTGCTAGTGCATGCTGCTGTACTGTGCTCATGAATCATGCCAGATACTGTGATTCATAATGCACAGTGAGTTTTTGCAGTTGAAGTTTAAAATGCCATATGATGGCAGCTGGTTTTGTTTTAAACTCTTACAAGGGTAGAGTTCAGAGAAGAAAGTTCAGTTCTGTTGTATAACTCACACCCTGCAGTGAGGGAGCAAATGAGTGTTTGTTGGACCAGCTGTTGTTGGACTCAGGAGCTTGTGCTCTGGTCTGCAGGCACTGAAAATGTTGATGCTGTTCTTTGAATGTCAGGGTAGCTAAATAAAGATTTTTATGGGACAGGAAACAACTTTCCTACAAATTTCTGGTAGAATCACTATTGTTCTTCATCCTACAGACAAAGGAACTGATCAGCACTATGAAGGTAAATGGCAGATGCACTGCATCTGCTTTCACTCCAGACAGCAGTAAAATATACAACTATTCAAGTGAGTATTCCAACAGCACTAATCCTAATTCCCTTTAAATTGCATAAGTCTTTAGAAGTCACTTAGTGTCTTACAAAAATAGTTAAAAACCTTTGTCAATATCTGTCCTAAAATTACAACCAAAAGATAAATAATGAAAGAATGGAGTTAACTATTTTAGTATGCCTTTAGTTGTTTTGTTTTTTAAAAAATAGATAATGGTGATACATTTGATATTTTAAATGAGCTCCTAGTTGTCATCTAATGAAATATATTTTAACAAAATAGACAGTGTTGTGTATAAATGGTTTCTGTAATCTACTTGTTTCTGCAACCAGAGGAAGGTGAAGTTTTCATTTGGGATGTGAGAAGCAGGAAGTGTCTACACAGATTTGAAGATGAAGGTTCTTTGGAAGGACAGTGCATTGCTGTTTCAAAGAACAACCAGTATGTGGCATGTGGGTAAGTGACTGACTGGGGTTTGACAGGTTCTTCTGATCTCATTTTGAAGCTCTTCAGTGAACTTATTGGTGGCTGGTGAGTGTAGGAACGTGGTTCTGATAAGCTTAGAGTAGATGTGAGTAGATGAATATTGCCTGTTTTATGATGATAATTTAATTTTTCCTGTATAAATATAAAATACCATAGTACACCTCACACCAGCATCACTGCTGTTGTGTTACTGTTACCATATATGGGCTCAGCAGTTTATTTTGAAATCACAAATTCTGTTATGTGGATGTTGATTCAGGGTCTTCCCCCTTTTCTAGTTCTCTTTCCTGTCCTCTGAATTTGGCTCCTGCAAGGATGGCACATTAGCCTTTGAAAAGCTGCCTCAGCTCAAAGCCACAAGCTGAAAGTGTTTCTCTAAGTGTATTTAATGAAATGCAACTTCAGCCAGTGTATTGATTCTTTTAAATGAAACTAGCAAATAAATATTGAAGAACAGTACCTATTTCCTTGGCCCACTGTGGAAAAGGATTTAAAAGTGAACTTATTCTACAGATATAAAAAACCCCACAATTGAAAGCTTGAAATTATTTCAGAATGTTTTGTTACCAGGCTCTCATTGCTTTAAATTCTGGTAAGAGATGAGCTCATCAAGTCTCTCCACAGTTAAGTGGGTCTCTTCATATATAAGTAGAAAAACCTCCTCAAACTAACAAAACTCTAAACCCCTCCACTAAATACTGTTATGAACTCCAAAGGAAAATCAAGCTCCAAACAAAATACTGTTACAAACTCCGGGAGAGAATTGTAAATTACATTTTCAGGTGAATGGTGGCTGGAGATAACAAGGTAATATGTACTGAAATGTCGCTTTTTCATATCATCTTTGTTGTTTCTTTCTTCAGTTCATCTTCAGGAGTTGTAAATTTATATACCACTGATGTCTGTCTCAAGGAAAACCGTCCTAAGCCAGTTAAGGCCATAATGAACCTTGTTACTTCTGCCACCTGTGTGACCTTCAACCCCACCACGGAAATTTTGGCAGTGGCTTCCCGTGATGCTGATGAGGCTGTGAAATTGGTATGTTCAGCTTCTTTTATTGCAAGCTTTTTTTTATCTTGATAAAAAAACTCCTGTTCACATAATGAAACTGATAATAAGCAGATATGGATACTGCAAAATGTGCTGGATCAACCAGGTCAGGACATGTGCAAGATGCTGGAGATTTATAAGGATATAAGTTTATTTTCTTTAGTGATGTTGTTCTGAAAATAACATCTTATGGTCTAGTTTACCTTTTCCATTTTTAAAATGCCCTTTAAAATGCCTGGAACTGTTCAAAGCCAGGCTGGATGGGGCCTCTGAGCAGTCTGGTCAAGTGGAAGGTGTCCCTGCCCAGTTGGAACCAGATGAACTCAAAGGTTCCTTCCAACACAAACCATTCTGTGATTCTATTTCAGTGCTGTAAATACAACTCAGCAACAAATGTGAATTTTCAGCAGCTGGTAACTGTAACCATCTCGTTGTGGTTTTTTTTTTTCCCTAGCTCATTCAAAATTTTGCCAGCCGTGTCAGAATTCTGGCCAACAGTGGAACTATTGAATTAATCTGAGGGTTTGGAGTCCTGTTTTTATTGCTTACATGTAATTGCTTAAAAAGAAAAGAATGGCAATAACTGGCTTCATAGTGTGTTCCCTGCTTCTTTTCTCCAGTAGAATTCTATATATAGAATCATGTAGGGTAGGAATAGAACTAAACATCTGAGCTTAACATTGACCTTCAATTTTAAATTTGTACTTTAGTTTTATTTTTGGTGGCTTTTTCCTAATTGGTGGCTTCTTCCTAATTGTAGCTTCTGACCTATTTCTCAATAGGTGCACATTCCTTCATACACTGTGTTCTCAAACTTCCCGGTGTTCAGAAGAAAACAGATTTATCTTGCTCAGTCTATGGACTTTTCTCCCAGAAGCGGCTATTTCTCTGTAGCAAATAACAAAGGCAAAGCCTTGTTATTTAGGTAGGTACTAAGTTAGGCTCATTAATCCCAGGTAACATGTTTATATTCTGTAATATGGGGCAGATGACAGGTGAGTGATAAGGTTTGACTTTGTGATCTGAATTCAGCTGATGAGTTCATGGAGTGTGGAGCTTGTTTTCCCTTCTGGGGAATGAGCCTTGTTTATTGTCTGATTACAAAATACCCATTGTTGCAGATGGCCCTGTCAAAACTGTCATTGCCTTTTTTTCCCCCTGCTGGTGTGGTCAGGAGCAGTGATAACTCTAAGCAGGAATATTTCTTTTTTTAAACTCACAACTTCATGATGCTTGAAAAACTTTTTAGGATGAGATTTTGACAGGGAGAATTTACAGAAAGACTCCTAAATAAGTCTAAAAATGGAACTAAATCTTGTGATTTGTCCTTAACTTGAACTGCATATTATAAAGTCATTTCAAGTAACTCTAGCATGTGAGTGGTTGCTACCTTTAACTACACCTGTGTTTCAGGCTGTCTAAGAATACTCAGTGACACTGTTGAAGAGTTGTTTCTTTGTCTTGCTCACTCAACAGATTACTGAGAAGTTTTAAATCTGTCTCGATGTTTTTTTTTCTTTAGGTTGAAACATTATTCATCTTTCTGAAAGAAGGTACAGCAGAAAATGGACCAGTAACTGAGGTGAACTGCTGACAACATTGACTTGAGGAACTTTATTTTCGTTTTGCTACCTCCACCTCTTTATAGATGGCAGGAAGAAATTGGTAACGCTGTGTGATCTGAAACTGGTCTGGATCACTCATGTAGAAGGATGGGCTGGAGTAGGGCTTGCCTTGTCAGTCCTAGCTTTTCTAATAATACAATAGAGCAAGTTGATAGTTCAACTAAAATCTGTCAACAGAACTGAGGAGAAGTTAATTGATAGTGTAATAGATGATATTTAAATCAATCTCAGCAGTGTTGTAAAACTGGCAGATGCTTGACCTGATCCTGTTAAGGAGTCCTGTAAGTGAGCCCACAGGACTCTGCATCACTTCAAATTCAGATTACAAACATCACTGAAGTTTGAAGCCCAAGTTTGTGTGCAGATACAATTTTATTGAACACTTAAACGCCTTCTTGGGAACTGGAAAGACCTGTAGCCTTGGCAGTAATACAGCAGTTCTGTTTGACAAGAAATGTGTTGATGAGGGGAAGCTGAACTTGTTCAGACTGGAAGCAGGACTGACTTCTGCATGTTAAGCTTGCATAGAATTTTGTGATGGCTCAGTGTTTGGAAGATACTAACAAAATTCTCTGTGCTGGTCTTTCCCCAGGTGTTGTAACCTGCAGATACGAGTATGCTGACAAAATCAAACAAGTCTTATTTATATGGAAGTTACAAAATACTAATAGGACATCTGTATTTTTGAATGTTGTTTTTTTTTTAATAAATATACCTGGTAAGTTTCCAGGCAACTTGTTTCAGCTTTTTCCAATGCTTTGTGTTATGCTCACAACTAAGATTTTATTGCTTGGCACCCAAGCTGGTGATTTGCAGGAATGCTTAAGTGTCTTTAGTTATTATGGGCATGTGAAATATTCCAGTGCTAAAGGAGAAAGCATTAGTTTTGTGTAAACTGGCCTTTGCTCTGTGCTTTTACCATGAGCTTTTCCATCAGCCTGGTTCATTTGAGGCTGGATTGGAAACAGCCTTTTGCTTCCTGGAAGAGCACATTCACCTCAACCCTGTTGATGCAGGAGTTGAAATTCAGCCCAACTTCCTGGGCCAGCCATAGCTTAAAGGTGGCCTAAACCAAGAGGTGAAGAAAACCCACCCCACGTTGTGCTTCCTGCCTCCTGTGTCCCAAAACCAACTGCATGTAACATGGGTTTAATTCTTAAGGAAGACCCCAATCATTTTTTTTCTATGAAAGCAAAGAATCCCGAGTATCACTTGATTTTTTTTAAAATAATTTGTGAAATTCTGATGCCATCAGGGTCACCCAGCAGGGACTGTGCTGGAGCTGCTGCTGCTGGTTCTTCATCTGCTGCCAAATCCTGCACCTCTGATCACTCTCTTGCTGAAGTGGCCACTTCTTTCTTCTTAAATACGTGAACAAAAAGTTGACTAGGAATCTGCTACAATGCAAACCCTCCTTTGAGAATAAATTGTGACCAATGTGTCTGTCCACTTCACAGCAGGGAGCTTTTGGGGCAGTAACAGCAAGAGCCAAGGTGCCTCAGTAACCAGCAGTGAAGTCATTAAGCCTTCAGTGAAAGTGGCATCGCAGAAAATCCGCTCCAAGCATGAGAAAAATTAAATTCTAGAACCATGTCCAAATTTTTAAATACATGAGCCTGTTGTTGAATTCTTGTCATGCTGTTTTAAAAAGCAAAATGGTGTGTTTTCTGATGTAACGGATTTTTGAAATCACTTTGCAAGTGATTGTAAGATGAGAACTTGAATTCACAAATCTTGGGGAAAGCAGAATAGGCTGTGGAGGTGTTAAATTGAATACAGTGTTTAATCGTATTGCAGTGCTAAACTTAAACTAAAACCCCTGGGATGGAAGAGTAAAATTAAATCAGAAGCACACTCTAATAAAGTTGCTTGCCATAGGATTCTTCTGTTACAAACAAATCTGTCTAAAATCTAGCTGGGTCTGAGACTGTTGAGTTTCAGAAATCCAGGTGCTGGAAGTGGTTTCTGACTTCACTAGAGGGCAGCCCAGCATTGCTGTGGGAGATTTGGCTCTTGGATGTTACTGAACAGTTTGTCTCCCATGACAGCTCTGCGGATGGGAGAGGGTTTGGTTGTGGTGAGTAACATAATTCCCCTTTTCTCATCGTCTCTGTATTTTACCAGGTTTAAGTAGTGTGACTTCATCCACAAAATTACTAAATCATTTTAAATAAAAGATTTCTGAGAAGGTAAATTTTGGAATATGTAACCTGTTACCAGATCTCAGTGATGCAGCTGTGAAGGGTTTTAATGCTATTTCATCTACCTGTCCTGAGACTGTTCCACTCCTTGCACAGTATGTGCTTCTCTAATTTACCCATTATAAAAAATAAAATCCCTAATCCAGTGACTCAAAGCCCTTTAGGAAGTCCTTGGCAGATCTGGGATTAGAATTTTGGAATTACTGGGTCCTGGACCTCTTTAGTTTGCTTCAACACAATCAATTCTGCTGTTTTTCCCTGCCCATCTTGGTGACTCCTGGTTGTATGAGGTCCAGATTGGATGGGACAAGTGAGTAAATGAAAAAGGTGTCATAAAACTGAGGTGCTGTGTGCTCTTTAAGCACTGCAAATTACTTCAAATAGTGGCAGGAAGGAAGAAGAGATTAAATATTTATTTTTTTGCAAGTTCTCTGATGTAAATTGCAAATTTTAAGCTCTGCTGAGTTGCTGCAGTACAGGAATGTTAAAGCTTTGTGTTAAGTACCTTAATTCCTAATGTTGCCTTTTTGTCTTCTGGAAAACAAAACTTTTTGCCCCATCCAGTATAAGGCAGGGAAGACTTTTGCTCTGAGAAATAAAGGAAACCTCAAGGTATTCATTGTAGTCTATAGTGGGTTTTGAGCAATGGCACTTCCATGAACTGAGCAGGTCTTAAAAGTTGGATGATATGCAAGAAGCTGAAACTGTTACTGGTGTGTCTGGGGATATTTCTTTGGAATGGGATGAATTACTGTTAAGTACACACATTGCTGTACTCTCATTCTGAAAGGTTGGGCTCTTTGTCACTTTGCCATGTGTTAAGAGTACTTAAGCTTCTGACCTATTTAAAACCTCTGTGTTTAATTCCTTTTTTCCTAGCACGGCTTTTTTTTTTTTTTTTTTTCCCCCAGCATTGCTAAGCTGAAGTTCTTTTAATGAATTATTTCTCTGCTTTTCCTCTCCTTCCATTCTCCTTGGCAAAATAAATTTTATTGATGTAGCCCATGAAATATTTATCATGGCAGCCTTTCCCCTCCAGGCTGTGATCTTGTCCGATTTTGCAAGCTAAAGAGAATTAGTCTGGTTGGTGCTTAGAAAGGAAACCTCCAAGAACAGAAAACCTGACTAGGTGTTAGAGTAACTCTGGGTATTTAGGAGATTATTGGGTTTGCCACTAAGTCTGTCTTGAATCTGCTGTTTGACCCTGCACCCGTCCAGGAGCTGTGTTTGTGGTGCAGGTTTAGCAAATCCTTAAAGGACTGAATGATTATTTTTTTTTCTCCCGTGTCTCATTCAATATCCAAGATTGCTGCTCTCAAAATCATTTGGGAAGTTACAGTTCTCTAAATCTCTTCCTTGTGGAACTGTTTCAACGGCTGCATGATTTTCCCAACTGTTTGCTGATCAGACAGCAAATTAGATTCTCTGTGGATGTGCTGAACCCATCCAGTGGCTGTGACAATCACAGCACACCTTGAAAATAAGCTGGTTTTTTTGCCTAAGGATGCTTCTTGAAGCACTTGAAGGCCTTAGGAGGTCCTCTAAATGCCTCGTTTTGCTCTAATTTGTAAGATCTAGAGGGAGGATGCAGTGTTCTTCTGGAGAGTGTCTGAAATCAGTCTGTCCAGGGCTGCCCAGCCCCTCTGGGGTCTCGCAGGTGCCCAAACACCAGCGCTTGCTGTTGCACTGAATTCTGTGTTTGTGCTGCATTTCCTTTGGACAAACAATGTGCTGGGCACTTAATGACACTTTGCTGTCTTCGTTTGGATTTCTTCTGTTGAAACGGTGGAACAGTTTGAATTTTTTTTTTTTTCTGTAACAAAGCGTCTCTTGGGTACCCAGACATTTTTGTCCCCTGTTGTGTCACAGTGAGATGGCAATTCAGTCAAACCCATTTTGGAACATTAATAGAGGCAGTTGCTCCTGTGTATTTTCTTCCAGTTATTAAAACTATGCAAGTTATACATCTTATTAAATTGCTCTGAGACCCCTTAACCTGAATGAAATCTTATAAGCGGATCAGACACTTGGAAGTGGCTGCAATATGATTTGATTTTCATAACAGATATTGAAATTGAGCTGGAGATCTCAGCCTTCATAGTGGTGTATTTTGCACATAAGATTGCCTGCCATAGGAGTCTTCACTTTGTGTGTGCAATATCCAAGGTCTTATTATGCTCAAACAGTTGGGAGGAAGAGGGAATGTGGTGCAGGAGCCTCTACTTCTGGTTCCTCCCCATTGCTATTCCCCTGCCTTGTCAGAGGATCAGGGATCTGTATTTATCCTGGGTTTAGTTTGCATTTTGTTGTGTTTTCAGTCAGTTTCTGCTGAGTTGAGACTGACTTAAGAAATTAAGCCCAGTAAGATGTTTTCAACATATGTACATGGATAGGAGCTGGGGGGAGTGAAACTTCAAATTAGGATCTTTGAAGACACGTCCATTTTATGAAGACTGAGTTACTTCTCTCTGCAAATCCTGATGCAGTGTAGTGTTCAGCTAAGAATCTGCATCACATGCTTAAACACAAGGGTTCTTTTTTCCTCTTTAATCTTTGTTTTAAGCTTTGCATGCATATTTCAAAGTTCTGGAAGAGATAAGGTGTTTGGAATATCGACAATTCAAAAATAATTGTTCAGAAACTTGCGTAGTCACTCCAAACCTCAGGAACCTGCTGTTCATGAGATTGTTTCAGTTACTTGGTGAAAAACTATTAGCCCTGGTATACTGGGAGGAATTGCATTAAGAATTAAATAATTAAGCCATGTGGGTTTGGTTCTTTTTTTCCCCCCCGTAGCTTCTCTAATGAATGCATTGCAGCAGCAGGAGCTTGTTGTGACTCTCACTGTATTCCATAGCTGCGTTTTTGTTTCTTGGAGGATGGTGTCCTTCATTTGCACAAACTTGTTACACGTGACAGCAGTCACAGCCATGTCTGTGTGTGCTCCAACAGCCTGGAAGACCCTGCAAACTACCTTTTTCTGCACACAGGGGGTGAGATTCTGCAGAAACTAGCTCAATTTGTTGAAGAAGCAGTTTCTTCGTACATTGGAAGATATGAACTGGGTTGCAGAAATAAAAATTGTGCCCCCTGTGCACAGATGCCTTGTGTGACTTCGGCAGAATATTGAGCTTTTGCTGCCAAGAGTCATTCATAACAAAATGCAAGTATCTGTTATCCTGTGGGATGGTTGTTACCGCTCTGTCCCAGCTGCATAATGCTTCAGTTCAATGAGAGAAGGCTAGAGGGAATCTGACTGCGCTGTGAGATGAAGTGATTGTAATTTGGAAATGAATGGGAAGGTCTTTGATAACAGGAAATTCAAGGTTACATTTAACTGAGGACACCCAAGAGGTGGTTGGTTACATATCATAGAAAAATGACACGGGATCCACCAATGTGAGAGAAATTTGTGTACGTTAATTTTGTATGTAGCAACCGTTAGTGCTCATAAAAATATTTATGTCTATATTAACACAAACTGGTCTTTCATCTGCATAAATTTGTCTAGCAGAGTCAGGCCCCCAAGCTGCTTGTAATAACTACAGTGGAATTCATGGGCTGTCAGTTCACACTCCACGTTGTGCTGGAGCATTTCAGCTGTGTATTGCACCACACTGAGATGAAGCCACAGAATAAAGTGCTGTGTTCAAATTAACATTAATTACTGGAAAAGATGGAGTGTTATGGACAGATACTTGGCCAAAACCGAGCAAATCTTCAATGAAGTTTTCTCTCTTGAAAAAGAAGGAACACTGTTTGACAGAACCATGCTGATTTTCTATCCCAGAATTTGTCTTGGCCCGTTATAAATGGATGAAATGACTTATTCCAGCATAATTGTGGGAAAGAATAGAGGCTGTCCTTGGGATCCCTCAAGTGTGCAGGTTTCACTTACATAAAAAGCCAAGATTGAATGCTGTTTTCCAGTTGAATGGAAAAGCCTTTTTGTATGACTCTTATTCCTGGTTTAAGTGATGTGTGACATCAGCCCTGATAGCAAATGGCTTACTCTAAAGATTCAGCAATACACAGATTATAATGGGGTCAATCAAAAGTTTTAAATCTTACAGTTAAACTTCTCAAACAGATGTATGTATCTTTGGGGTTGGTCTAAGCTGTTGGAGATTTGAAAGCCTTTTTGAAATTCAGGACTATAAACAAAACTGTTGTAGGATGGGGATTATGTATCGTACTTTCTTCTGGCTTTTGAAGAAATGCTGCAGCTTCACACTTCTCCCTTCAGAGGGTTGTGAAGCTGAGTCTGTGTTGCTCACGTTCCTCAAGGTGTTTGCATAAAAGGCAGGATAGGCACAGACTAACAAAGGTGAATCCAGAAAGAAACCAGAGTTTTGCTTAAAACTCATCCTACTGTAATCCCCATTAATGCAACAGCCATTTGCACTTAGTGCAGGTACAATGTCCACTGGATTGTCTAAGGGGAAGACTCTGTGTGATTCCAACCAGTGTCCAGCAGAGCAAAGTTAGGGAAAAGTGTTCCTGTGTTGTAATGATCTGCAGCTGCAGCTCCCTCAGTGTGATGATCCAGAAGGGCTTTGTTAAGGCAAGGGATGATGCATAGTAAATAATACCAGGCTCATCTTGGGGGTGGGAGAAGAAGTCCAGAGGTGAAATGAATTACATGTCGAGTCAGAACCGGGAATTTCAGCTTAGTTTCTCGATTTCCTGTCAGTTTTTTTTCTTTGAACACTAGATTACCTTGTCTCACTGAAGGCTCTGCCTTGTTCTGCTCTTGCATGCATGCCTGCTATTCCCTTCTTCACTGATTTGCAGTTCTCGAATGATACTGAAGTTGTTTCATTGATTCTCCAATCTGTTCTTCTTCCCCAGACACTTAAAAAGTGACTCTGCTGATGAGATTTCTGGGAAGAATACTAGTTCTGTGGGAACTGACATCTGTATCAGTATTTTGTGCTAATCTGTCAGCTCTGGCAGGTTTCTGCAAAGATTCTCATTTTACAAAAGTTCAGATTGTTGAAGAAAATTCAGTC